TCCTATGTTAAAAACTCAGAACATTTCACTCAGATTTTAGGTTCTCTCAGGATGGACAAGGACGACATTATGGCAAGTTTCGATGTCAAATCCCTCTACCCGAGTATTCCAGTAGAAGAGGCACTCTTGCTTATAGAAGAAAACGAAGATCTTCCGCCATACATAATGGATCTGTCAAGACATTGCCTGAAAAACGCTTACTTTATGCACAACGGGAAAATTTACCGACAAATAGATGGAGCAGCAATGGGATCATCTCTCTCACCTGTGATTGCCAACCTCTTCATGATTTACTTCGAAAAGAAAGCAATAGAGAAGGCAAATCTGAAGCCAAAACTATGGACAAGATACGTTGATGACGTATTTGTTGTATGGCCTTTTGGCAAGGAGGAGCTTTTGAAATTCCTAGATCATCTGAATTCCATTCACCCAAGGATTCAATTTACAATAGAACTTGAAGAGGATAACAGTCTGCCCTTTTTAGATGTGCACATCACAAGGACCGAAGATGGACACTTGGAACACACTGTCTATAGAAAACCAACACACACTAATAGATACCTGAACGCTAAATCTCATCACCACCCATCACAGATACAGGCAGTGGCAAATACATTAATTGCTCGGTCCTTCAGGCTCACAAACGAGAGGAACAGAGATAAAGAACTGAAGAAAATTAGTACCTGTCTTCAACAAAACGGATACCAAAGGCGCACCATCAACAAGGCAATCAGTAAACAACAACAGCCGCAGCAGAGAGTGCAGGACGAGACCCAACGAAGATCGATCGCTGTCCTGCCATACATCAAGGGGGTTACTGACAAAATCGGCCGAATATTACGGAAACACGACATATCAACGGCATACAAACCTGACCATACCATCGGAGCAATACTAAGAAACCCAAAACAAAAAATTACTCTGGAAAACCAAGGAGTATACAGTGTAGCATGCGGATCGTGCAGCCTGACGTATGTGGGACAGACCAACAGAAGGATTTCAGCCAGGCTCGAGGAACATCGTTTAGCCATAAGAAACAAACAAACAACATCTGCTTTGTTTCAGCACCAACATCAGACAGGCCATAAAATTGATTTCGGCACTTGCAAACAAATAGCTAACATTCCTGATTTTAGGACTAGGATTATACGAGAGGCCATCGAAATAGAAAAGTCCGGACACCTCAATACGAGAGACGACGCTCTGCATTTATCCAACACGTGGAGAACGATAATCAAACAGCAGAGCGATGCGCAGCAGCCAACGGGGACATCGCAACTACGATCGGGCGAAATTAACAACGCGACAATTCAGGGGGCGGAGCCACCTCCCCCCACGCACAAGCAGCACCGTTACCATCTCCGGCGCAGAGTATAAATACCGCACGCACCGCCGATAACCTCCCAGTGTTCGAAGTGTTTTCGGAGCGCGAGCATTGAAGATGCCAAGTGAGATTTTGGCGAAACGTCTGCAGGATTCCAGTCGGATGCAAGATTTGCAGGATTCCAGTCGGATGCAGGATTCCAGTCGGAGTTCAACGAGCGAACGGATGATATCCCGGAATATAGTGTCATCATATATATATATATATATATATATATATATATATATATATATATGATGACACTATATTCCGGGATATCATCCGTTCGCTCGTTGAACTCCGACTGGAATCCTGCAAATCCTGCATCCGACTGGAATCCTGCAGACGTTTCGCCAAAATCTCACTTGGCATCTTCAATGCTCGCGCTCCGAAAACACTTCGAACACTCGGAGCGCGAGCATTGAAGATGCCAAGTGAGATTTTGGCGAAACGTCTGCAGGATTCCAGTCGGATGCAGGATTTGCAGGATTCCAGTCGGATGCAGGATTCCAGTCGGAGTTCAACGAGCGAACGGATGATATCCCGGAATATAGTGTCATCATATTTTTCCATCCGTGAATCAATACGTGAGAATATATATATATATATATATATATATATATATATATATATATATATATATATATATATATATATATATATATATATATATATATATATATAACAGATCTGTTTTCTAGGTTGCATAAAATAATATATGTCTTTGATTACATCAAAAAATGTCTTCTGTCCGTGCCATATTGCAAAATGATAACCTTGCTTTTAGTTCCCTTTTTTATGCGTAGACCCAAATAGCACAAGGACGTTCGTAAAACATCCTCTGGATATCTAACGGGACATAGCATATATCCATCCATACGATATACTGTTTCAGCTAAGGGACATCCTTAAGATGTCTCGAGGATATACAATGTTACTAATTGGAACGCCCAGAGTATATCAGATACGTATGTCCGTAGGATGTTAGTTAGGATATACTAAGAATATCCGGTTATACTAGTTGAGACATCGTTACTATATCACACTATGAGGATATAGGATCTTATGTAGATATGCCAGTGGAATTTACTTAATTATTAGGCTATTTCCAACAGCCTATGAGAAATACTGGAAAAGTAATGTCTGGTGGTCCAATTGGTTGTACGACTACAAAAATTATATCCTAGTATTTGGTATTCGCATGTGATGCAATCAACCTATTGGGTATAGGTAGGTATATGGGTAGTATATTCATTCATTTATGTATTTCATTTCATTAAATACAAACTTCATTAAATTCTCATCGGTAAGATCTCTTTCATGAGAGTAGGTACTATTGCGCGCGCAAAAAAAGAAACTAGAACAAATATGACTTTTGAGTTTGACAGTAAAGGACTATTTTCATGCAATATTTTTTGTTAACCTAAAAATTTTCGTATTTTTTTTGGTCGTGATGGTACCTACTATCACTATGAAAAAAGCCTTAAAAAATAGGAAAAACGTTTTCATGAATTAACCCAATAATCATTTTAATGTAAAAATTGTACCTTATGAATAATACTTAAAAAAAAACTGAAATGGCAGCACTGAAAGCAGTAAGCACAGCATACAAAATAATCAAAATAGACGCCAAGTCGCCGTGTACCTTATACCGCCAACAAAAATAAGGCTGAAAAGATGGTGGACGACGAGACAGAGGGGAAGCCGACTAGACTCGAACAAGTCCGGCAAGGCACGACCGCTAATAGTTGCGTCATTGGTTGCAGCCGAACGGTGTTGTCAAATGAGATCGTTCGTCATTAGTTGCCAACACTGACGTCAATATAGATGTGCACAAAAACATCGCCAATAGAATGCCTCCCAAAACACCAGAAATCTAAAAAAACTAAGTATTTTCCTTTTCAGTTGTTCAAAATTGAACTTTTTATTTATTTAGAGGATATCTGTGGTATATCGTGTACAATAAATCCGCAAGCTATCCATTCACAGTAAATCCACATGTCCCGGTATATGCGACTAAAATGGGACATTGACCGGATATACTGGGGATATTGTGTGTTATCTGGCTAGCTACTGGCAATATAGGGGCCCTGCCGATAATACAGGAACTTACAAAGCAATTATAAAAAAAAGAGAGGCTCCATTCAATAGTGCAATATGCAACGATCTTGCGGCATTGAAAAACCAACATGGTCACTGACGGATTGTCGATAAGTACAAAATATACCTAGATCTCGTTAAATGTGCTGGGAAAACGAGATAAATGTATGGCAATTGCTGCTTAGAAAGAAAACGGCGCAAAGTTCAAGTTCGTAGGTGAGATGTAGATGCATGTGCTGAAAATCATTACCTTCTCTAGGAAAATAATATTATCTATTAGCTATATGATTTTATGACAATACTTGCCATTAACAGGTAGGCGTTTATAAAAGGTTCAGTGAATAAAGAAAGTAAATAAAAACTTAATATATAATTTGAATTAATATTTATATTTATATATACAAATGAAAGAAGAAATGTTGCATGTATAATTTGTTGTAGTATTGCTATGGCATTCAAATTGATCTACGATAAACCTATATAACAATAAAAAGCAAAAGAAACAAGTTATTAATATATTAATCAAAGAGACCAAGATGTCGGTTCGGTATCCTGCACATTCGTGGATTCGCAACCGCTTCTATGAACGTTCTTCAATAAATCAACGCTCATAGACATTAATAAATGCCTTCACTGCAAAAAAAAATACCTTCTCGCCTCACATTTAACTTATGATCCTCTTCGCCATTTACATATGTGCCTGGAACTCGTTTCGCAACGGCCGGTATTTAAATTGACTAATATTTTTTCTCGTACAGGGTGTTTTGCAAACAAGTAACAAGAAATAATTGAAAACCCCGTACAAAAAAAAAACAATTAAACCTAATGTCGCTTCCTTCGTTTGTCGGTCGGCGCAAACTATTTCTTTTCACGCCGTGGATAATTTCGCTGCTCGGTGTTCACCTTGAGAAGGTGACATCATCAAGGATGCGCATGTAAATATTCGCGGCCGGTCGACCGCAGATGTAACGGTCTCCCGGCCAGGCGAACGCCTTTAATTTGTATAACAGTACGTCAATCCCAAAAAAGGCACGATAAAAAAATGCCCCAAGAAATTAACGAGATTAAATACCCTCTTTAACGGTGCCGACACCATTAATAGCGCGCTTCGTTTCTTCGTAGCTGCATTTTTGAAGCGTCACCATTACTTGCGTTATCGTCGTACGAATTGTCTCCTTGGAGTCCCATGTGTCTTTTGGGGCCAAATAACGTCGCTCTATAGGTTTTCCCATTGTAAGCCAAGAAGCGACCACAACGTTAGGTTATTCTTCTTTTCAATTTTGGCCACAATTGCTAGGATCATTCGGCCATAAAATTGTGGGTTATGTTGCCTACGGTCGTCGTCGCTTCTCAACCGACGCGCCGCAGTAAAGTGATTATTACGCTAAACAAATTACGTCATATTACAAAAGTAGGAAATTGTTCCGCCTTCGCGTAGCTGATTTGCATGTTTGAATAATGTTTGATATGCATTCGCTTAACGCAAAAATAAATCGCCACCTGGAGCGCTGTTATAAGATAACGTTTTGCGTTTCAGGACGACGGCGGGATCGAATACTATAACACCATAGTTGTTCAGCCGCATCTTAAGCTCGTCACCAACCAGGGCAAGGGGTTCCACATCAGGTGCCGATATAAAACTCGCAACAACACAATACCGAACGATTCGCTCAAAGTCGAGTGAGTATTTTTTTGCGTATAGTGTCTACCAAAGCGAAACTAACTCCAGTGAAAAGTATATACTACACAAACCTTCCGGATTCCTCCTGCTTCGGTTTTTCTGAGCCGAACATGCTAAAGTTTCGCCGATCATCGTGTTGGCTTCTTCACAGCTTAACTAAAACTGAAAACTGGCACATTAGCAAGTTGGACTGACCAAAAAACAACGCAGCGGGAATCCAGAAGTTTTGTAAAAAGTATTACAGCAGCTTGTGGAAGTTTCTTTGAAAAATATACTGCACAAAATATGCAACAGCACAGTAGCTTACCTTTTTTGGTCCCTACTAGTCTTAAAATAAAAGTAATTTCATCATAAATATTGTGATATATGGTTCCTTAAAAAATTTGTTCATAGATGCTAGTTGTAGGATATTTAAATTAAAAATTTCTGAGCCAGCGAAGTGCAAGACAAAGGAAGACTGCACGTACTTCTCGTCGTAGAAAAGGATGCAATGCTAGGATTTAATTAATTGACTATAGAATAGAATAGAATAAAAAATAATAAAATATTCTTAAAACAAACGAACCAAAACTATTAATCCCTATCTAACAGAAAAATGAGAAATTCTTTATTAAACAATATTTATAATATAGTACATAGTGATCATACAAACAACAGTAATAAATATTTCACGACCAGAATCGCCGGAAGTTGTATCATTTGCCAAATCAGAAGAACCATCTTCATTTTCTTTCTCGTGTCATCTCTAAAATATCATCTATTTTTAAAGGCGTCTGATCTCCCTCAAATCCTTTCGGTTTATCTAGGAACCAACCACAATTTTCAGGGTTCAATTTTGCGCAATGAGGATCAGTTGCATGTAACCACATTAAGTTGACATAAACAGTACGTAATCTTCATTGTCTTCTTATTGCAGAAAAATATTTAATAAATATTTGATATCTGGTATAACTTTGTTACAATTTTTAATACCATACATAGCCACAGTGAATTTGTCAATTACATCCATTTTTTCTTGCAAAATGTAAATGGCTTGAAAAGTCTTACTTTTTCTTTGTTATAAAAAGCTGCAGTGTAATCCGAACCAATGTAAGCATAAAAAGCAGGTAGACCTAGGCATAGATCAAGTCCCAGTTTTGATGCCAATTCGGTACAATTGATGCAATTAAAATCATTGCTATTCCGCCTTTTACTTAGCGAAGTCGCAAACCATATTTCAGGGTTTTTTATTTTCCGCATGTTACCTGCGTCTGCTGATTTTATTAAAATTTTAGATCCTGATGTTGCTTTGTAAGCGTGAAAAACCATTCTCGTATCCGACTCATCATGAAAACATTAAAAAACAGTTACTTTTTTGTAATAAGCTTACTTGATAGCCTTCAAACTGAGTTGAATTTTGGGAACGTCTGCATATTGAAAACGTCGTCATTTGTTTTTTTACACAAAAAACACTTTTTCTTCGTCATTTTCAATTTTGGATGCAATGTACAACATGTGTATTCCCTCACGGATGATGGCGTCTGTGCGCCGCACAGCTGTAGCATTGTCGTCTTTTTCTGCCTTGGACTTTCGCTCTTTCCGAATTCTTTAATTTAAATGTCTTGCAACTTGCATCTATGACCAAATTTTTTGAGGCAACCATATACTACAATATTTTTGATTAAATTACTTTTATTTTAAGACTAGTCCCGATCGGTTGACAAAAATGTGCAATTATTAACATCAACTGTTTGACTGCAGCTACCAGGTAATGGGGACCAAAAAAAGGTAAGTTACTCTGGTGTTGCATATTGTGTATAGTATACACTTTTTACTGGAGTTAGTTTTATTTGGTTAGTTTGAACATTTCCGTTGAGGTTGATATACCAAGTCAAGTGCAGGAACTTATTTTATTTAATAAAATGCAATTTTCTTCCGGTAAATGCGTAAATAAGATTGTTTTAGCTTCTTTAATATCTGTTCGGTCGATGCTATGTTTCTTTCGTTTCAGTTCGCTATCATCCGACCCGGTAACCTCCATGGCCACGATGCCTGGTTGCAGCATGAAGATCTTCGCCGGCGAGCCGTCGCAACACCACGTCGCGGAAAACGTGAAAATTGGCGACCCACTGAGTCTGGTCGTGGCCATAGACGAGCAGGAGACCTACGGGATACGGGTCACCGATTGCGTAGTCAAAGGTAATAATGTTTTCTTAAATGTTTGGTCATGACGAATTCGGACAAAAAAAATGCAGGGTGTAATCGAATTGACATTATATACTTCACTCACAAAGGGCGAATATTCTCGTTATTACTGCTGCAACCCAGTATTCCAGTAAAATAACTAGTAGGTTTGGTATGCTTATTAAATAGGTTCACTTTGTTTTTTCAGTATTTCATTTGGATCTAATAAAATATTCAACGACTCGGAGTTGATCAGGAACGAGGATCAATTATTATATCTCGACTTTCCTTATTATTTCACATAATGAGCGTCGTCAGGGTCGGCGTCAACCTCATTCTTGGATACGGCCTAGCCTCCGAAAGACAAACTTATATATTGGTAGTGATTTGCCTACTGAGCTTTGTGAAAATGATGTTAATATACTCCGAAATCAAATAAGTGGTTGTTTCAAAACATTTATAACAGCAGTCCAACTGATTTTGAATCATTGCTCCAAACGACTGGCCCCGGGATTCGGGGATGCATTTACAGCCTTGGTTATCTTTTCAAATGTGAAAAGCAGGGGGTTTCAAAAATAATTGCAGAATTGTGTGATGTCGTAATGGCTGAACTTAATGAAAATGCAAACATAACACAAAAATAGCATCCAAGTAAAATTAAAATATTTGTTCTCGAAAAGGTTAAGAAAAAATTAATTCGCCATGTATGATATGTAAATAGTCAACTACAAATTAAAAAAAGAACTTCGGCGTTTTTACAACTGTGTGTCTGCATCAGCAGAAATTATATCATGCCAATATTAATGTTAATTGAAATGGATTTATTTTGTAGAACATCGTAGATTCCTTCATTCATAGTGTGTTAAAAGATAACGGCATATAAGGGGTGTTTTACGGTTGAATTTGGTTAGTTCCATACGCGGCGATGTTCTATCGAGCTAAAATATTTTTAACACTGCCACGTTGCCGCTTCTTCCAAAAAGTAGCACCAATATTTAAATTTTAAATACTTTGAGACTGTTTTCCTATACATTTCTTTAGTGTTTTATGAGAAATTAATTAATAATTAATTAATTAATAAATAGCTTCAATTAAATTTTTATTACTACGACACTGGAGCCAGTAGAAACTTAAAATTTTGGACGTAGCTTACGAAACTCTTGTACATTATTTCTTAATATCGAAAATAGTTCTATATCATACAGGGTTGGTCAAAACTGATGATTTGCATACGAGATACAAAAAGGGTGGAACACCCTGTATCTTTCACGTATTGTAAGAGAAAATTAAATTCCCTTTCGAATGATGTATCATATCCCCAACCGTCTTATATTAAATAATTAATTTTCCGTTTGACAGTTCAATAAAGATTTTGATTATGGTGCAAATTTTATTGATAAAACCGTTTCAAAATGAAAGGGAAACCAGTACTCCTGATTTACAAAACATGAACAAGAGAAAATTTGCCAGAATTAGGAAATGAATTATTTAACATAAGACCCAGAAATTGCACGCCCACCTAAAATATGAATTTTGCCAAAGTAAGTTTTCAAAAAACGTTGGGTTTATTTCAGAAACCAAACGATTTAGATATAGGAACATGATTGACATAATACATCATAATATACCCAGTGTTCCATTTTTAAAAAAGCACTTTTCACTATTTTTGTATGTGATAGGCAAAGCATTAGTTTTGACCAACCCTGTATAATCTAGAACTAATTTCGATATTAAGAAACTTTGTTCAATACCCCCCTAAGTTATGTCCAAAATTTTAACTTCCTACCTCGTAGTAATAAAAATTGAAAATAAAAAAAACAATTATACAATAATATTTTAGAACGATAGAACATCTCCGCTTATGGAAATATTTGCTAACGTCTAAGGTACCACGAACCGTGAAACACCCTGTATGTTATATTCGTCAGGTTGATTTCTACTTTCGTAAACATTTTTCAACAATGTAAGTGTCACTTTGGTTGGAAGTTTCAACAATTATTATCTGGTATTTTATCAAAGACGTGAGCATCAGGAACACTTTATTCTCCCTAATTAATCTGAAAAACTCAAGCTATAGCAAACAAACAATAAAATTTTGTATTAAAAATAAAAATAAAAATAATTTGGTACAAATCGTACAAATAAAAATTCTCTAAAAAATTGTCCTATAATATTTTTTATTTTTCTCTCAATTTCTGCCATCTCTAGTTCCAAACTAATTGCAGTGTCATGCAATTGCATTCCATTTCAGTTCTGTTCTTCTATTATGTATGCTTGGTATCCCCAAGTTTGGGGTGGACTTGTATTCTTGTTTTTTCACTACTCCACTTCATACCAAATTTATTTATAACTTGTAGGTAAACATACAAATTTAGGCTTTTTGTAAACCGCACACATATTGTCGTCGAAACGATTTTTCTTTAATATAACGCTTTTCTAGCGAAACATCAAAAAGTCTTTAATCTATAACAAAAAATGTCCCCGAGTTTACTCAACTTTCAGCAACATTGTTGCTAGTACTAGTCGGCGACAGAATAGTCGGCGAATGTCGATTGGGTGGAGACCTGACTTTATGCAAGTCCTTATAGTTTGTAAAAATACGAACTTTAAAATAAATGTCTCGAAGTGTGCCTTGAAAATGTGTGCCAAAACTATATTTTAAACCAGAAACCTTTACATTAAGATGCAGTATAAATAAAAATGACTTTTCTAGAAAAATGCATATATTTACTATATAAAATAAGATGGTAGTGTGCGATATTAGTTTTTGATGTCGTTAGTAAAACTATGAGTTGGTAAACCCTTAAATAATGATGTACTGGCGGTCCGGGCGCAGATGGTCTCGGTTGGGGAGAGCAGACCCTAATCGACTCCGACGGGTGCCCCACCGACCCCGACATCATGGGTATGTTCCAGTATTCGGGAGACTTCAGCAAGGCAGAAGTTCAGTTCAAGGCTCACAAGTTCCCCTACATCGCCTCCGTCTACTATCAGTGCAACGTCAGGCTTTGCGTCAAGGCCAATAACGGATGCGATAAAGAGGTAAGCCCCAACTTTCTTATTTCAGTAGAAAAATTTCTCAAAAAAAAAAATTCTCCTCCCTGTAAAATACCCAATGAAGCGTGCGCTGTATCTACAAACTAATGGACGTATAAAAAATATAGTGTGCAATACTTGAATAAAGTTCTTAGTTGTTCGTTTATTAAACACGCGACTAAACTGGCGTTTATCAAACTTGTTTCATAATATTTTATTTTTTCTTCTTCTTTAAAAAGCGAGGGGTAAACCGAATTATGGTTTAAGTGTTTCAATTATGAAGAAATTACAGGATGAAGGAATTGCGGGTCCAGATCCTCCCCGCATGTGTCAAAAAATATTATCTTAATTTTTTTCTTTCTTTTTAAAGATTGTTTTGCCTTTCGAATGCCATTTATTAGTGATTTTCTTTTCTTTATTAATGTTCTTAGATGAATAGATTAGATTATTCTTTGGGAGCGTCTGTGTGACATTTATCGAATTGGATATAAATACTGAAAAAAGAAGGAAACATTTTAGTGACAGGCTTTGAAATTTCGAATCAGACAATTTTGGAAGGGTTTTGATTTTTCAAAAATATTTCTATTTTCCTTTTTTTTCTGTTTCTATTTTCTGGGAGCACTGTTTTTTGTTTTTTTTTTATTTTTCTTCATTCTTAGGTAATTATATATATATTTTTCAAATTTCAAATATACATTACAAATAGTTAAAAAGTTCGTAACAAAATTCCAAACGGATGGTTTTGAATGGTTTGAAAATGCATTTTTATTTTATTTTCTACTGTTTCTATTTTCTGGGAGCACTGTTTTTTTTTTTTTCGTTCGTTATATTTTTTTATTTTATTTGATTTTTCAGTTATTATAATTCTTAGGTAACAAAAATTTCTATAATGTAACTAGACTTTTTTGGTTAAAAAAGTTTTTTGTTTTTTAATTTTCGATTTGGTCATCAGCAAATATATTTTTTTTTTTGCTAACTAAGGTCAGTATTTATTTACTTCAAATTATTGCCGTCATTTCCTCGAAGAAGATCTATGAAATGATTGTCGGTAATTAACATAAAAGATATCGCTTATTTCCTAATGGCGCATAATACGTATGGCGCTTATTTAATAACGCGAGAACCACAGAATACACGGTCGTTTCCATATCCGGGTGGCCTCGTAATTTATAACTGTAATCACGTCCGCGCAGCATCTCACACGGCCCATAATATACTCTCCGGGGTTCGGCATGCAAAGGACCGCGGCCCGGGTCAGAGGTTATGTTTGATAATTCCGTAACTGCCTTTTCGTCGAACAGAAACGATTATGCGACGTGACGGTCATTGATAATGCCTGATTTTAACGCTGGAAATCGTCAATTTAACGATTATGGCGAACGAATCGGATAACACGCGCCAGGCGATAGAAGATGACAGTTGATAATTTTGACATTTGTCCACAAACCACAAGTATTCCGTGGATTTATCGATCAAAACTGGAATGACTACGGCACGGTAGTTGAGTGAGGCAAGAGTGAGGTAAATTTGACTATAGGACAAGATGGTTAGCGATGTCTTTTACTTGCTCATATTTTCTTTAAATATTTGCATAAAATGAAATTTCTAATCTATCTTTTTTAGAAAGACTTTTTTAAAAATTATAGTGATTAGAATTATTTCAAAAAAACTAATTTGTCTATATACGTGCACTTAACAAACTAAATTTTTAGGGCAACTAGATCAGTACATAGGCAAAAAAAAATTTTACTTCTGAATAATACGTTGATATTCCATAGAAATTTTCTTTATTATATGGAAATACTTTATTCATATAACCATATTCATATATTTTATTTATATAATCACGCGATGGGTTATTTATATTAGTACAACAGAATCAGATCATGTAATATGCAATAGGTGTAAATGATTTACGAGTAGAAATAATTATAAACCATTTCTTATTGCCGTTATTAAAATGCAAGCGAAAAACCCCAATAAATGCGGATTTAAATGCATAAAATACATTTTATTTTAAATAAAGCAAGAACTATTAATATAATTAAACCTGTTCTTCAGAAATCCTATAATTTTTTACCTATTAAACAGACCTATTTCAAAAATGTAAATAAAAAATATTTTTTATAACCGCAGCCCCAACAGTACCTTAAACTTTTTTGCAATCTACCTCAAATTGTCTTATTAAAGCCACTGAACCTGTCAAAGAAACCGAGGTTGCCTCCAATTTAGTGAGTGCTATTTTTATTACAAAGAAACTTCCACAGGATACTGCAATATTATTTACCAAACTTGCTGGCGTTTCGCCAATCATTCTGTTGACTTCTTCAGAGCTTCAACAGGATGTTTGGCGAAAGGTCAGCAAGTTCCATTTATCAATAACCAACTCAGGATGAATCCAGAATGTTTGTACATAATAATACTTTATTTTTATAAATATTAAGTTGTTTAGATTTCGATAACTTTTTTAACTAATTCAAAGGTCCTCAGCGAGTTGTGATGGTAATTGAGTATTTGGACAATACTTCTCATAAAATTCATTAATTAAATCATTTGCCAATGGAAAGCTGGTGTGTTATACATTCTGTCTCCCGATTGACACCATGAGCCAAACAAGGAACAGGAAATAGGTTAGAGTAAAATATGTTTAAATTTTGTACCATATAAAAAATTTGTCTGTCTGAACACTGTTGGGTCTATCCTGGGTAATTCTATGAATCTATTCATATATTCATATATTGGCTCCCCTATACATTTTATAGCAATGTTGTAATATAATTTTTTGAAGAGGCCAATATGATTAACTCATGTGCCCAGTTGGAATGGAACTTTAAAAAGTCAATCTTCAGTTAGTGAATTAAATATGATGGCAAAGTGATATTTATTTTATAGTTTAGGTAATAAAGCAAACAGCAGTACAATTTGACAGTACAATATTTCTATTTGTGATTTTTATACGAAAGTAAAATGATTAATAAGAGGATTCTTGGACGAGCTGTAAATAAATATCAAACCACGGTGTTTCGCACTTAAAAAAAAAAAGATAAATATTTTTCCTATAAGTACGAAAAGCATCAAGATACTAAGAAGGCGATGATGAAAGAATATTTTCCTATTGTTTTGAAATAATGCAAAAAGCAAATAATGATATATGATAAGTGAATGAATATCGTTTTGTTCATACTCGAAGCCAATATCCTCAAAAAATAAATATAATGGTAGGAATTTGCGGATCATATTATTGGTCCATTTTTATGGACGGTAACCTCGCGGCAGAAACCTATTGAATTGAACAAATAGAAGAAGTTGTTCGCGAAGATCAGGAGATTTGGTACCAGATGGTAGGTTGCCCCGTCCATAATTTCCGTGTCACCTGACCTCTCGACTCTGACCATGGACTTCTTTCCGTGAGGTCACTTAAAAAGTGTTATCTATAGAAATGTTAAATTTGAAACTCTTAACCAGTTACAGAACGCTATTTCCTTAGTATGTAACAGGATTTCACAATATCAACTAAGCAATGTTAGAAATGAATTTTATGATAGCTTAGGATAGTGTTTAACTATTAATGGAGGGTGGTTTGAACATTTACTTAAAAAAAATGTTTATTTTAAACAATGCTTCTTTTGAGCAATGTTTTATAACCGTATTTTTATTATAATTATGATTTATTTATAATAAAAGAAAAACTTAATATGATGTCTACTATATATACTTAGTTTATTTTGAATGCGTCAAACCAAATACGCATGTCTTTTTTGTAAACCAACCTTTATTTGATATGTCATTGTCCTGCTTGACGTCGTAAAGTTTTCAAAAGCACATAAAACATTCGCTGGTGTTTCCCATCATGTTTAATCCAATAAAGGATTGACTTATTAAAATTTATTCAAACTCGGCAAATGAGTTAATCATACCGGTCCCTACAAAAAGTTGTATTACAACTTTGCTACAAAACGGGAGCCAATGTTTGTAAAAGCAGTACGTGGAATATATTCTCGCTTTTATCTTATTACCTGGAACTGTTAATTTTCTGACATTTAAGGCTACATCATATTTTTTTAAATAGAACGCCCAGTATTTGTATTGTATTTCGTTTTTGACAAATGGGAAATTTTTATATAATTTCAAAGAGTGCCCTGATCGACAAATAAAATAGTATATATAATATAGAGTGTTTAATAAACGAGTCAGTTAAAAAGTTTACCGAACATGTTTGCATACTATATTTTTTCTACGACCGTTAGTTTTTGGGTACATTTTCGCAAAACACGAATACATTCACTGACATGACTGTCAGAATTGACAAGCGTCAAAATTCAAAGCATTTTAAATGAAGAACATAAGGCAAACATATTAGGATTCTCCGAAGCACATCCATTTTCCTTCATTACTAGAGTATATGAGGAGACTGGTATTTCTCGGGGATTAATCCACTCAGTTTTGAAAGAATATAAATATAATGCATTTAAATTTCGTAAACCTCAAAGACGAAGTGCAGAACAATGACAAAGAAGGATGCAGTTTTGTTTGGATTTTTTAAATAGAAAATGAGAATAATACTTTTTTGAAAAACATTTTATGGACCAATGAAAGTTCGTTTACTACAAGACAGGGTTGTAATAGACAAAACACGCGATATTTTTCTTTAAATAATCCTAGACAAATACTCGAAATAAAAACCCAGGGCTACCAATCATGGTGTCATAGATAGGCATATTTTGGGTCCGATATTCATAGATCAAAAGTTAACTGGAGATCATTATTCGCAATTCTTAGAGCACTAAATAGAACCATATATAGAAGATTTACCCCTAAAAATATCAGCGCTGATTATATGGCAGTAAGTCGGTGCCCCTCCTCACAATGTTGTACAAGTTAAAAATTTTCTTAACATGGAATATCCCAGAGGTTGGGTAGGGAACGGCGAAGCTATGGATTGGCCAGCCAACAGCCTCGAAAAATCACGTGCACAGAACCCGTTGTAATAATTTGGAACTTCGGCAAAGAATTTCAGAGGCGATCGATCAATCAGTTAAGAGACAATCCGGAAACGTTACTAAATAAATGCAAGACATCATAAAATTAGAGTGTATGGGAAATGTGCTCAGGAAAATGATGGTCACATACAGCAGCATTTAGAATAGTTGAAGAATTTTTTACTTTAGTGTTTTTGTTCTACTTTAATTTGTGAAAAAAATTTTTTGTTACAGTCAGTCACGGCACTCTTTGAAGTTTATAAAAATTTCCCATTTTTGCCGATTTGTCAAAAACTAGTGGACTAAAATATAAAGTGTGTTGCATCATTGTAATTGGGAAAAGATATTCCATTAAACACATATATAATCTACAGAGTGTTCCATTAAAACAAGTATGATGTAGGCTTATTTGTCAGAAAATTGAGTGTTTTGTTTTATACGTCACGTGGAAAAAAACTTGGCTACTAACCCTACATTTTGTTTTTTTGTTTACCTTGATGTCTCTAAAAACAAAAAAAAACTTACAGAAATGTTAAAATGTTGTCAAGATAAATTGAACGAACGGTACATACATGTTGAAATAGCATCGTGTGTACCGGACTTTATATGTTTGGTCGAAAATTGGTAATAAATTCGCAACTAGTGTCTGACGCGGTTTGGGTGTTGCATTTGCAGCCGTTGACGTGCAGAGTGCCGTCGTCGTCGTCGTCGAGCGTGGACGTCGTCCCCGAGCGGTCGAACCGGCTGAAAAGGCAAGCGGTCGGCGGGGGCACGTCGTCGTCCGGCGCTGACCCCGAGGGTACGCCGGCCACCATCGAGGTGTACAGCGGCCTTTACGTGAACGAAGCCAACGACCTCGCCAAAGCCGGCCAGGACGATTACTCCGTCTTCAGCGAAAAGGTGGGCATTTATAAAATGACGTAGCCCGCGAGATCGGGTTCGTTAATTTTACGAGTTTTACGAAATGGGAGGGGGGGCTCAGTGAGGGGGGAGGGTTTAACACGTAAATGTGTTTACTTAATGGTTCGTATAGGTACCCGCGACGTGAACTTTGGTTCGGGGATTTTCCCACAAGAAAATTATATGTCCAATAATATACCTACATGGTTTTTCCCATCCTACCTACAGGGTGAAGCCATATATAAAAATTGCATTTGATTCTTTTTCTTTGTGGAAAGAGGATAATTCTCGCCCAATTTTAAGACGAAAATGTGGTATGGGTTATTTTGGAATGTTATTCGTTTTCGAAATACAGGGTGCTGGTAAAATAAAATTTTATGCGTTTTCTTTTTGTTATTAATTAGTGGTGATATTTGGTACACGTAATAAGGGGTTTTAGCACTTTACTTAATTAATTATTTTGAACTTTTCAATTGTTTCAATTGCACCTACCTTAATTAAAGCGATATGAGCAATTTAAATAATTGCTTATTATAAAACCATAAGAGATTCTACAAAACGCAAGAAACTTGCTTAAAAGTAATCCCTTACGTTAGTTTCAAATTTCAAATGAAGTACGAAAACCCCTTATTATATGTACCAATTATCACTGAAATATCGTTTTCTAATTTTATTTTTTCAAGGAAACGATATTCCAAAAAATATTATAGCACATTCTGGATTTAACATTAGATGATAATACTAATAAATATCGAAAATACAAGGTGTTTCCAAAAACGCTGCTTTAATTTCTAAGGTTTGATTAATAAAATGGAAAATGGTTCTGTAAAAGAGCCCCCAAAAATGTATTTCTTTTTATCATTTCCGCAACGAGTTAAGATAGAAACATATAAACAGATAAACGGAATTTATAGCAGAAAATTTTAAAATCTGCAGTATTTTTACTTCATCGTTGTTTGTTAGTCTAAGTCCATTCTGACGTATGATAATTATTTTAAATGATTTATTAATTGGGCCAGCATATCTTGCGAAAACCTCAAATAATTCCAAAACCACTATTTTTTTTCTTTACGCAAAAGTACCTTTTGTTATGGAATAGACCCCCCCCCAAATTAGCTACGCTTCTGTACAAAATATTAAAATTTTTGTTAGAATTCATAAATTCAAAAATGTCAGTTAAATCAAATCGCTCACTTTCTTTGCTTGCCGAATTAATTTTAAATGTGCCTAAAATCATTAATGCAACAGCATCCACCATAGTGCTTTGAAATTTATGTGCCATACAGTAATTTATTATGCTTTAAATTTTTGAGTATGTATTCTTTATGCTTTATTTTTGTGCATATATATTTTCAACGTCGAAAATGTTGTATTATGTGCCTCATGATGTTGTTAAATTTGGGCAAATATAATTAAAAAGATTACAAATGAACGCAGAGAACAACGTGCAGCCGGTCAGTTACTTTCGTTACAGGCCGCATCGCTATCGGTGATTTTACAATTCAATAAGACCCCTGACGGAATTTTTTTTATACTATTTCGAAGGACAAATTTGAAATGCCGGCATTTTTTTCAAATGGGTTTCATGTTTGTGTTGATTTTGCTTAAAAAATAGTTCATTTGATATTCGGGATTCAGTGCTTTACCGGTTTCAAATCCAAATACAAAACAAATTGTTGTATTGATTAAGAAACATTTAAACACCAACTTCAACATTAACTTCATAAGAAGTGCTTTTAATTTTGCTAGTTTGAAAGCACATTATAAAGGTATTCTAGCTTGAGTATTACAATTTCATCATAAGATGAACCTTTGTCATTTTCCAGTAGCCTCACACCACAAAAACTCATGACAGAGCCCCGAATCATGCTTTACTATCGCTTATGCAGGTAGAATGAGATGGTTAAATTAAAAAACTAAAATTAAAATTAAAAATTTTATTTGCGCATATAGCATTTAAATTATTATTACAATATAGAATAACCGAATAAAAATAGTAACACCAACAGTTACAGTTGCTAAACTACCAAGTTTTGATTAAAAACAGACATCTTTACTTTGCGATTAAAACTACTGAGAGAGTCAGAAAATAAATCAATATGTTCGTTATTTGTGAGTAAAATATTTGTCAGTTTGCACATTCGATTCATAGGCGAGTTAATGCCATAGTTGGTCCTATGAAAATCAATATTAAAAAGAGCCTTACTTCTTGCATTAATAGGAGAAATATGAAAATCAACATATGCCAGAAGATCTGGTGAATCCATCAAATTATTAAGGATTTTGTATAATGTAACGATGTCCAAAAATATGCGCCTACTCTCCAAAGATGTCAGATTCAAAAGCTTCATTATCTCCTCGTAGTTTATATCCTCAAATGACATTCCCAATTTAAAACCTATCCCTCTAAGGAACTTACGCTGCACACGCTGTATTCTTTCCTTGTGAATTGCATAGTGTGATTGCCAGACACAGCTATCATACTCTAAAATTGAACGTACAAGCGCACAATACAGCTCCCTATACGTAAAGATGTTCTCAAAACCCTTCAAAGTACGAAAAACAAACCCAAGCAACCGAATAGCTCTGTTAGTCTTAAAATCAATGTGATATGTAAATGTGAGCTCCGAATCGAGCCGAACTCCAAGATCTTTAACTAGGTTCTGTCTCTCGAGCGATCCAGCGTTCAAATGATAGGTGAAAGTTACTGGGTTTTTGGATCTGCCAAAGCTTACAATTTTGCACTTGTTTGTATTAAGAGTTAAATTGTTCTGTCTGCACCACAAAGAAAACCTATCAAGATCCTCCTGTAATCGATGACAGTCAAGAGGTGATGCTATAACCTTAAAAAGCTTTAGATCATCCGCAAATGCAAGAAATTGGCAAAAGCGAAAAATATTTTTTAGGTCATTAATGAAGACATTAAAAAGGAATGTGGAATGATGTCCCCCTTGTGGTACACTCGACGTCACAACAGTCTCTAACGAAATGTAATTTTTAACTTTAACTCATTGCTTCCGGTTAGTGATATTACTGCGAAACCAATTTAGAAGGTCTCCAAAAATTCCCATCCCTGAGAGCTTCTCCTAGACTAATCGATTTATCACAAAGAAATGATGTATTGCATTCTGCATATTCTGAATAGTTCTGAACGTTCAAAGTTAACATTATGAAGTACTAGCCGGAGAATAGAATCTTAAATCAAAACTTAGCTCTTTTGCTGATTTCTATTAAACAGAGGACCACCTGATTCATAATCTGCGTGGTCGTATTGCCTAAAAAACGCCGCCTTCTTAATTCGTATGCCTTCCGCAGGGTATTTATACATTATCTAACGGCGGGCGGATGCACGTCATTTTCGGACGGCATTGTGAGTAAAAATACCGTGTCTCCTTTCCACGCTCATTTTGTATTCACGATAGAGCCCGCGCGTACAGTATTACGAAACATGTCTTCCTCTCGGCCCGACGCGGCGATATAACAATCGGAAATCGTATTTTTTTTTAGATTTTTCAAAAAAAAAAAAGCTATGCATCAGAAATTTGCGACGTTCTATTATCAAATTAGGCACACAGGGGAATTAAAATAGCACCAAAATTGACGTTTGCCTTTCGGCCGTTCGAGTCGCATTTAAATCAGCTGACCGGATATTCGTGAAAATGAAGTCCCTAACAATTCGAGAGGAATGTAACCCGCCTCGTTTCTCTAATCGTTGGGTATGGTCAGCCTCAAAGTATATCGTCCTTACTTTTGACGGCAATTATTTAAATAAACTCCGATGGGCAATAAAAGTCCTGACCTTGAAGCTGTTTAAACAATGACACTAAATATATAAAAATTATAAATAATTACCCAAATAAGTACGTTTTTTGCCTGGCAGTTTTTGATACATTTGCTTTCGGAAGTGTAATTTTAATTCTCATTTCATTACTACTTGTTTTTTGTCTCTCCTGTCGTATTTAAATCCAATTTTACAAATAACTCTTTGGAGGGTGGCACGGCTAATAATTATATAATAATAATATACATATTTGCGATTTTTATACAACTTAAAGTCATTTTTCGCATCCTACTCGCCAACGCTTTCTGTCTCTCCAGTCCTCTTCTTGTAGATTTCTTTGGGTTATTTCGTTTCTTATACCGTCTCCCCATGTGTTTCTGGGACGTCCTCTTTTTCTTTTTTCTGGAGGAACCCAATTCAATATTTGTCAATGGTGGTGTCTATCTTCATTCTTTGCTTTATCTCATTGTTACTTATTTTGTCTAGCAGTGTTAGTCCACAACAGCGTCTCCAGTAGTCCATTTCCATTGCCAATAATCTTTTACGTAAATAATCAGTCATTTCCCATACTTCGGCCCCATATGTTGTAATACTCTCTACAATGGTCTTATAAATTCTGATTTTAGTTTCTGGTCGAATTTGGGTACTCCACAGTATTCCATTTAACTGCTTTATTGCATGTTTTCCCTGTCGGATGCGGTTCTTAATTTCAGCTTCACTAGTGCCCCTTTTTGTTATATTTACTCCCAAGTACTCGTAGGGATCGACACATTTTATAGTTCCCGGATCTAGGATTAAATCTCTGTTTGTGCCTCCTGCGATAAGATTTTCTGTTTTTTCCATATTAATTGATAGACCCCAAGACTTGTACGCCTCGGTCAGTTTATATCATACTCATCCTCCGCAAAAATGACCTGGTCATCGGCAAAGTGCATTGTGAAGAGTTTATCATTACCAACAGAAATTCCCAAGTTTCGGCAGCTGCGTCTCCAATGTCTTAACGTGGTGTTCAGGTATATCTTAAACAAGCTAGGAGTGATTGCACAGCCCTGCCGTATGCCTTTAGATATTGGAAATTCCTCCGATAATTTCGTTCCCAATTTAATGCTGCTAGTCATATCAGTGTACAAATTTTTGACACCCTGTATATAGACGTTACTTACACCATTTTCCGACATTGCAGGCCACACTCTACTGAGGGGCACACTGTCATAGCCTTTTTTTAAATCTATAAATATCTTATGTGTTTCTAAATCCCGAGCCATTCTTTTTTCTAGTAGTTGTTTTAAACAGAAGTTATCAGAGCATGATCTGCCTGCACGGAAACCATTTTGTTCATCTATGTCATGAATTTGTTGTTCTATTCGTGTTTTAATGATTTTTCCATATAGTCTTGAAAGGGAGTTTGTTACATTAAGTCCTCTATAGTTTGAGCATAATTTCCTGTCACCTTTTTTATGTAAATTCGATATGTAGGCAGTTTTCTATTCTGGGGGTAATTGTTCGCCTCTCAAGAAACAGTTGAAAACAAATGTAAGTAGTTGGAAGACTAAGTTTAGTCCATTCTTTAAAAGTTCGATGGGAATTCCTTTTGGCCCAGGAACTCGTCCATTTTTCATTTCTCTAAGAGCCTTTCTTACTTCTTCTTCTGTTATGTAATCTTCTTCTGTAAGTGAGCTATCTAAACTTATACTCTCGTCTTGACTCTCTCTTATAAATTCTGGGCGATTTTCGGTGAACAATTGCTTATAATGGCATACTCACTCACTTGGCTGTATAAAGCTGATAGGGACTCTTTCTTTTCTGTCTGTTCTCATAAATCATTTTTCGCTTTTCGTACAGCTTTTTTAATCTCATAGCGGCAGCGAGAATAGTATCTTCTATCTTCTGTTCTATTTGTAGTCAGCCAGGTGTTATATGCTTGTTTCTTTTCTAATATCAATTGTTCAACGTCTTCGTTCGACCATTCGGTGATCTTGTGTGAGTTATTTGTTTGTTTTTCTCCCAAGGCCTCCATTGCGGCTTCTCGTATACATCTCAATATGCTATTATAGGTATTTAAACCAGATGAATATGTTACATTACTGAGTTTTAAATTTAACCTGAGTGTATATAGGAATGCTGTCGATTCGTCTTTTAGACCATCCAATTTATATGTTATTTCATGTGTTTCTTCTCGACAATTTGTTGTTGGCTGTTTTTCTGAATGGGTTATCAATGGAAAGAAAGCTTTTGTCTTTACGAGGTAATGAACTGTGTCGCACCCTGCACCTCTATACACACGAACATCATTTATTATTATTACAAAATCATACAGGAAGTATCACAGAATTTTTCAAAAGTTTTCTACAGTTGGAAATTAAAATAATATCCAAGGAAAACCAAAAAAATAAAATCAACAGTAGCAAGGTTTTTCAAAACGCCTGCCACTGATATCAGCCAATATGTGCCCTTCATCTAATCTTAATCGCCCCTTACCCATGAATTAGTTATCGATTTTTTTACCCAGGGACATTAGGTATGAAGGCCATACTTAGTTTTCGGGGTAGGGTCTGTCAAAAGCTAAGACGATGAAATATGTACTTTGAGACACACCATACGATACACGCAGCAACGAGGATTGTTTTAAAAATCCGTAAATATGCATTTCGATATCCGAGTACCAACAAAGTCCGTCTCGTTTCTCACGGTTACCGAACAAATTTTAAATTATACATCCGCTAATGCGGGCAATACGTTAAACCCGACATTTTCGTTCGTTGCTTTACTTATCGTCTTTTAATCTTCGCCGATGTTGAGCCGCGGAGCCCCACTAATTGCAAGTAAAAAATCACCGACCGTAGAACCTATACGCATTTTTTTCTGGGGTCCACCAAGAAGATTGGTAATGAGTAAATTATTTTTTTCTTTTAAATAGTGAGATCGCTGAAGAGGTATGGTTTCCAAACATATTAAAATTAACTAACTTTTAAACTTTAAACGGTTAATACGTTTATTCATATCGGTGGATCTTCCGCTATAGCAATGTTTAGTTTTATAATTAAACAGATTCTTATCGTCAAAAGAAATACTAGACTAAATCCGCCACTCTCCAAATAATATTTTAATAATTATTATAATTACTCGTTTTAGTATAGTAAAAGTTTTTCGTATCTCTTGCCCTCTGTTGGCTTATTTAAAAACAATTTTGTCCTAAACACAAGTATGTTGGTCTTATTTTTATTTAGAATTAATTTATTCCATTTGAACGAATCTATGACTAATGTGAACAACTATGTAATATATATATATATATATATATATATATATATATATATATATATATATATATATATATATATATATATATATATATATATATATATATATATATATATATATATATATATATATATATATATATATATATATATATATATATCCTTGATGTAGTTCTCGTATTATTTTTGTTACTGTTACATTCCGCTATTACCCAAATATTTTTTTTATTTTTCGCAATCTTAAACCCATACTTTTTCAATGCTTGTATAAAAAGTTCCCTATCTAAACAGCTTCAGATAATCCAAAAACAGGAAAAAAATGAAATAAAGCGTGTTACGTTAGACGCCAGCTTTTTTAACCACTGACGTGGACCAGTCCTTTAGTCACGGATTTCATTAGTTCGGATGTTTTAGGTAGATTTTATCATTTTAAATTTTGTCACTTCTCACAGTTATGTTGCACGTCACTCAAATGCGAATGCCAGCCCATTGATAAACTTCTTCGGTCTCTCGTTTTTTTAAGCACTCGCTGCGCTCGTGCTTAAATTGGCGTTTATCAAACTTGTGTAAAATACCATTAACTATGATAACGTGGAATTAATGTTGAAATATTTCATTCCAATGAAAGCGAGGAAAATTGAAAAGAATTGCTCAAAATTTGGGATGGAAATTTGAGCACCAATTGAATCATCGAGGAGTACCTTGTATCTCTGGCCGTTTCAAGAGTCCTTTATCTGCAACAAACTTTAATTAATATAATCCACTTTGGGACCACAGATAAGTCGGGTGATTTGCTAAATTTTTTCGTCAGGAATTTGGGGTAGTATTTTTTCCGTACCTTTTAGTCTATTATCTATAAAACTGCTACAGACACTTGGTGTTAATGATATGACCATTTCAGGCTCCAGAGGACGCGATCTGCATCTCTCAGCGCAGTTTCGCGATTGGCATTTGTGTCGCCGGCTTGATTCTGATGCTCTGCGTCATTGCCGCCATCTTGTGCTTGCTGGCACGACGAAGAAAGAAAACCGTTTCGAATCCGGGCAGCTCAATTTATAGCGGCCCCTACACCAACACCGCCTACAGTCACACCAGCTAAAATATCTGCACTCCCCTCCCTGAATTATTTCCTAAAAAAAGCTCGAACATAACCCGAAAATTTGAAGGTGCCATTCGAAATTGGACAAGTCCTCATATAGGTGTGTCTCTAATTTGCTTTTATTTTTCAAATCTTATCTTACAAAATAAAAAATATAATTTGTTGGAAAATCTTGCCGGACATCAAAAAATGTAAATCAATAGTTCCCAGTCTGTCTCAGCCATTTTAGGTACTCCCATCTGTGCATGAAATAGAATAAGATTCTTACAACTTTTTCATCTAGTCTTTTTATTTTTACAGGGTGTTTGTAGTGCTTAAAAAGGAAAATATCCAGGGACCAGTTCCGAAGCTTATATTTTGGCGAAATTTTCAATTTTATGTCCACACTTTTCGAGATATTGCCAAAAAACCTTAAATTTCACAGAAAATTTTAAATCATTGAAGTTATTTCTAAAACACCTTGTATTAATAATTGAGACCTATTTCAAACTCAATTGTCTAATATTTAGCAAGCTAGATGTGACAACTACGTGATAATTATTATTAACAATTGGGAAGGTGGTGGTTTTTTGTCATTTATCATTCATTATCGATGTAACACCTCTTCCTGAAACTGGATGAGTTTCAGTGAAGACATACAAGCCAGGTGGTCCCTTTACTTAGGAATGTAAAGGGCCTACCCTGTAATTTTAATTACCGCTAAAGGAAATGATGCAAATCAACTTTTTCCCGTTGGTTGCATTGCTGGTTCTGAATCACAGTTGCATTTTCTAGTTAGAATTTGTAAATATGCGACAATGCAAATCTGGTTCTTAACCTCAACATATGGAAAAAAAATATGGTGCTATAACTCATTTTCATGTAATTTTAACGTTCAACAATAAATATTTTATACAAACAATTGCGGTTTATATTGGTCTCCCCTAGTCTTTCATTTTTCCAGTTTGGAGTCCTTTTTGAAATATTGAATTTCCACTTTTTGCACTAGACTAATCAAGGAGGGATGCCTGCGGACAATCTCGGCCAAGTCGTTTTTTGGTAAGGGGGTCGTCAATATGGTGAAAAGGTGGCCAAAAATAAGCGCATCCAACTCTGTCGGGCTAAAGTGTGACACATATCAAATATTGGTAAAGAAATTTAACATTACTCACCCTTCATCAAAGAAATATGATTTGTTGTCGAGCCTCACGCTTAATGCTTCGCAACAGATCTCAACTTCTTGAAGCACTTCAGGTAACGTTTTATAGTACCAGTCCAATGCTTTTAATTTTTTTATCACCTGTCGCCGTTTTTCATAATTCTGCAAGTGGTTCAAAGGCCAGGGATATACAGATCCGTGTCTCACACTGGTCACTTCACTGTAAGTTTCCTTATCAACCCAACAAATATACAACTAAAACCCATAATATCAGCAAGGACAGCTGACGGTAAAACCATCAGCACCTCAGCAACTTCGATAACATTCCGTACTAGCGACATATAAGCTCTCATGTCAGCCTTTTGGTCATCCTCAAGCTTTCCCGTCAACGAAATACCTTTACCGTTTATGAATTGTACAACCCCTTCCAACTCAGCAGTGACAAACCGGCCAACTTTTATAAATGGAACTTTCCCAGTTGGCGACATTGCTTCTGCGTTTGCTCTGGGTTCGACTTGAAAGTCTAAGTTGCACATTTTCAAGAAAGCTTGGACCGCGAGGCAATTGGCGTTGTCGGGCAAAAGAATTTGCTCCACTTCATAGGGCTGAAATAATTTTGCATCTTTTGGCCATGGTTCTTGTGCTACAATTAATAAAATATTATATTCATTTGGAACAGTTAATAAAAACAGGCTTAAAACCTCCAAGTTCTACTGATATTCTATCAATTAAAGGCGATGGCATTTTAAAAAATAACCTAAACTTGGGAAAAAATATGATTCACAGACTTAAAAAAAAATTGCGTTCTCTACCCACGGAAAAGATTTTAGAATCATAATACCTGAATGTTATAGTTCTCAACCCACCAAATTCAGCACACAGACGATGAAGTCATTTCGATCTAGGGGATTTCAGATTTGCCAGGTCGTTTTTAGTTACTAAACGCTATTAGTTCCTTTTTGTTCTTTTTCGTCCTTCAAAATGTCGAAGAGAGGTGAATATTATATTATTTCAAATCCGGATTTATTTTAACCATCTTTTCGTTTAAGTGCCGCGTTCTTAAACTGCCCGATTATTGGGGGAAAGATTGTTTTGTTTCTGTACATAGTTTTTGGCTTCGAGAAATAACAAAATTAAATTGTTTTAGGACGTGGTGGTTCCGCGGGAGCAAAATTTAGGATATCGCTGGGTTTGCCCGTAGGAGCGGTAATCAACTGCGCGGATAATACAGGTGAGCGAGTAAAAATATTGAAATATTTTAATTTTCCTTGGGAGAAATGTTCAATGTTTTGGTGGAATTCGTACATAACCTATTATTCACTTTCAGCGTGTCAAATTTTGAAACTACTCTACTTTTTAGGAGCCAAAAATCTGTATGTAATCGCCGTTCAAGGTATTGGTGGACGCTTAAACCGTCTGCCGGCTGCAGGTTCTGGGGACATGATAGTGGCAACAGTTAAGAAAGGTAAACCGGAACTCCGTAAAAAGGTTATGCCTGCTGTGGTAATCAGGCAACGGAAGCCGTTTCGCAGGAAGGATGGAGTGTTTATTTATTTCGAAGATAACGCGGGAGTTATCGTGAACAATAAGGGCGAAATGAAAGGCTCCGCTATTACTGGACCTGTGGCCAAAGAATGCGCAGACCTCTGGCCTAGGATAGCCTCAAACGCGAGCAGTATTGCTTGAATATTATGAATAAAGCTACAAATAAATTTTTTGTTTTTATTATATTTAATTTTTCTTAATTATTCATATTTTAAATATTGTCTTGACGGGTACTTTAGTGGGGCTTTTAATGATTTCAGCATAAAAGCCATGGTCCGCTTTTGACAATTTTATTCTGGTATTAACCCTGTGAAAGAAACTATCTCCAAATGAAGGCACATACGAAGCTTTTTCTTCCAGTATTCGAGTTGTCATATCATTGGTAAGAACTACCTAAAATATATTTACCTAGTCTCCAAAGTGAAATTAAAACAAGGTTCTTACAGCAAAATCATAAGCATTTGCAACATTTTGCAGTTTTTCCATGAAATTATATATTAGACATGTTCGATCTTCAATATTCACTTGCTTGAATGGGTATGTAAAACTATCTATTATAACTAGTTTAACCTAGAAATCCAATGACTTCTTAACCTGTCCCATTGCAAGGGAAAAATAAATTTACCTTCTTATTGGGTAAAAATGTTTCTAAATATGTAATTGATGCAAAAAGCTGTTCAAAATTGCGAATATTAAAAACGAAAATATTTTTAAGGATACTTTGCCATGTTATATTTGCACAAGAATTAGATTTAAGATTCTCTAGAAATATTTTCGTTAATTCTGCTAAACGTCTTTGTGAGAAGTTCTTGTTGGTGTTAAAGTACACGACATGTCCTTCTGCACCGCCAATAACGTGTGGTAATTGCGTTGTGATGCACAACTGAAAGCTATTGAAATGATTTTTAATAGAAATAATGAAATTCAGCTAATTTACCAAACTTGTGTTTTGCCAGATCCAGGCAAACCGGTCAGTTCAATTATTCGTTTGGCTACTATTTCATCTCTCAGTACAATATCCAGCTCCCTGATATAGCTCAAAATACAACCGGAAATTAATTGCCTCGCTAAAATCTCCAAAGCAGATTTAGTTTCCGGAACATTTAAATTTAGGGAATTTCGAAAAATCTCGTCTAATTCGTCCAAATAATGAATGCCGATATTTTGCAGTTTGGTTCGCTTGATTTTTGAAATATCTAGGGTAGAAATATTTAACTCCATATCAAATTTAGCCGGTTTCCCCTGAAATAAATCGTATTTCTAGGTTATTTTGGGAGTACAGAACATCTATTAAATTAGAGCTTTTATTATCTATGTTCTATGATTCTGTTTTCGGTGGACTCTCATTATTAATTGGTTGTGTCGGTAAACCATTACATTAGTTTTGTTTATTTTTGGGTTGAAAAAATTGAATGCCAAAAAACTATATTATCCAGGTAAGTACTATTTATATTTTTTTGATTTTCGTTAGTGTTTTTTCTCCTTTGTTTTCCAACATGTAAATATTTTTTTCTAGCCGGAGTAGCTAAAGGCGCAGGCCTGGCAGGTCAGTGAGATGGCCAGCCAGGTTTCCAGATCTCAGTCTCCTCGACATTTTTATGGGGTACACTTAAAAATAGAATTTACAGGCAGGGTGATTATCCAAATATCGAACAGCTCCAAATCAACATCATTAGAGAGTTAAGGAGATTACACAGACGGGAAATACATCGCGCAGTGCATAACATGCAGAAAAGAGTAGAACTGTGCAGAATCACGGACAACATTTTGAACATCTTTTGTAATTTATTATCTTTACGTATAATTATTAATATTGTTAACTTTTTTTTTTAAATATCCTGAAGTTTCTCATTAATTAATTAATTAATTAATAATTTTATATGTTGTCTATCAGGATATATGTTCAAACGCATTTCTGATATTTTGATACCGATTTTCTTCTTTGGTAAAGTCGATTTTTAACAACACAGTAATGCACTAGATATTAAAATGTCTTTGACTGGCTTGAAAATTCATAGCTTACTATGGCATAAACGTTATTCTTCAATATTTCAAATTTGAGGGAACACTTGTGATACATCAATAAAAAATAAAAATCGGAATCTTCAGATTTTCCTGGATTTTTCCGAAAGTAAAAAAATAACTTCAATTGAAAACGGCACATTATTGAATTCACCGATGCGCAACTTTTCCCTAATTTTTAATCCTGTATCTCTTGCCGTTAGCGAGATCCTAATTGTGAGAGTCGAATTTGAAACTCCCGGTATACAGCGTGTGGCATTTAAAATGAGGACACCCGCTCTATGGTTCGAATGAAATTATTAATATGTCGAGACAGAAAACGCCACCGCCCAGAACATAAACCATGTATATTAGATTAAATAAAACAACATGTCGTGTTACGACCTTAAACAGATCACTTCCATCTAACCTAAGCCACAGAGTATATATTTTTTCAAACATATACAGCGGTTATTTTTCATAGGCATCTATGAACGATTCATCATTCATATTAACATTATATTTTGACAATTTAAATAAATACTGGTTGAGGTTTTGCAGTCATAGAGATTGAAGGTTTACATTTTTTAGGATATTCAACTGGTCAATTGTCAATTGTCGGTATTTTGCTTCGCGTTTGAGATATCAGAAAAAGTTATTTGAGAAAGTTGATCCGCATATTATTCAAGCCCCGCATACAAAATTCGCATTTTTAGTTTTTTCATGATTTTGCTTAATACACAAAATTATTCAAAGTGGATTTTTGTTATGGAAGGAAAAATCCCGGTAATTTAATTTAAGTAATTTTTTTAAGAAAATAATTAACCCAACAATTTTCAATTCTTTTCTATTTCCGTACTCGTCTAGGTTTCGGGATGCTAATTTCTTGACACACTTATCGATATTTAATATCACACCCCGAAAATAAAAATCCGGGACCTTAGAGGCCAGGGTTCAAAATGACAGTTTGGTAGTATCCAACGCATAGGAAATTTTTGTAATCATTGACAAATTGCGAATGGCTGCACTATCTAGCTGGAAATATGTACATATTCTGTCCCACATTGAGATATTTAGTTTAGGAAACTAAACAACCAGCATTTAATGATTCATTAAAGAAAAAAGGTTGTGTTATTTAGTGTCCCAAAATCCCACACCAGACATTGACTTTCTGGGAATATTCTCTCAACAATTTATAAGCCAATCGGCGATTATATCTGGCCCAGTATCTAGAATTTTGAGACGATCCATTGGTGGTGAACGTAGCCTCATCTGAAATATTTTTTTGCGCGATAGTTTTGATGATCAACCGACCAATGAGGTTCCAAAATAACCTTCTTTTAATTTAGTTAGGGGCCTAATAGGTACCCACACATTAGAATTAAAATAAACGATTTAGCACTGGGTCGTTATTATCGCCGAACTTCAGTCGCATTACGTTAAATGTTTGACCGTAATCCGATGTTGCCGGCAAGTATCTGGTTTGGTTGGTTTCTGTTAATGTTTATGTTGTTTACGCTCAGTCCACCCAAGTCAATCACAAAATAGAGCCAATAGAGTGAATGGAGCCGGCAGCATTGTAATACGGTCAAACATTGAAGACCTTAAAAATTCACCCTCAAAAACAACTTTTTTGGTACGGCGAATTTAGATGCTGTCATTGCTTTTCTTTATGTTTCTTAGAACAAGCAACAAAAAAAATTGTAAAATAAAAATATTTAAAATGTGAAAATTTAAGTAAAACAAAAATTAAAATTTTAATTTTTTTAAATTAGCAATATTTGCTATTTCTAAACTTATCGTTTTTCTACCGGCAACACCGACTTTCGTTTTTTTCTTTGTTTAGAAACTCAACGAGATGAAGTTTGCAATACGGGTTCTTTTAAGCACATAGTTAACTTATGTGTTTTTAAACAAGTTTGTAGCGTCCTCAACCTGTTTATACAATGTGAAATCAAATTACAATTCCAATTCATTTCAGAATTTGTAAGTGGGGGCCCGAAAAATTACGCATATGTTGTGTTTTCTGCTACGACAGGGGAAGAAAGCATAATATGTAAAGGTAAGGCCATACGCAGCGTCTCAGATAATAAATTTCGGACCTTTTTAAAACTGATATTTTTTAATTTTCAGATTTTTCTATTTTAACCAAAAAAAAAATCAAAACATAAGAAATGGGCCATCTGGAAATTCCTGCAAATAACTCATTACGAGATTAAGCAGATGAGGAGATACATAATCATAATTACTATTTGATGCAATACATTTCATATTTTGAACAGGTTAATAACTTAGCCATAATGGGAGGATTCGATTTTTAATTTAGATGTAATAGACAAACGAAATAGTTGTAATATTGACGTATCATAGTTGGACTGGGGACAAAATAATGTTTCAAAGAAGGGACTTTTTGCCAATAACAAAAATTTTAGTGGAAAATATCAACCCAAAACAGTGAGACGGACGTAGAATTTAAATACCTTTTTGGCGATGTTCGTGTCGAATACATGTATTACGAAAAGTATATATTTGGTTTAGACTTTCGTACCTATTATACCATCGTATTTCTATTCAGAGAGTCCGTTATTGATTTTCTCAAAAAATCCGAGCAGATTGTCTCGATTCTTACCCACCTGCTCCAGCCAAGGCTATAATATGGGTACAATAGCTGTTTATTGGTCAACTGTAAATACTGTATCATGTTTGTGGTTTTGCAAGTGATCTTAAATTTGCCTCGTGGCAGAGGGGTGCCGACTATCGGTTTATTATATTTTCGGGGTATAGAATTTTGGGCTAAGGTAAGTAAAGTCTGTTCATACATATAAGAAAGTGACTAACTGATATGAATCAAGGAAAGACCCGGGCAAGCTGTAGGAATGAAATATGGCCGAACAGGTCCGTACTTTGCTTAAAATTTAATTATTTGGGGTTTTGTTAGGAAAAATACTAAACAATATTTAGGTATAAAATTATTTTCTATTACAGACCACAATTTTACCTGAATTGAAATTCCGAAACTTTAGGTAATAATCTTGTTGCATTGTATGTTAATGAACACCCTTGGATAATGCCATTCAAAAGCAATTGGTCACTTTCTTATATCTACGAACAGACCATACCCTACGCAACAAAATATTGAAGGATCTTCAGGATCCTACCAGTGAGCGAGTAGAAAATTATTTGCAAAGAGGGTAAAGGTAAATCGTAATATAAATTGTTTATATATTATTCCACTGTTGATAATGTGTGTCCTTTTAAAATAGCGCTTTATTTGACCCGTACTTTTTTCTTGTCAGAGCTTGTCTAAAAACCGAGATGGAGGTACTCCGTCAGGTTTTTTCCTGTCGAAATAAGTATGTTATAAAAAGGTAACAATTAGGTGTTCTCTTTTGGGGAACGGGTGGGGGTTATACGTTTATAAGTTATAAGAAATTAAAATTTTATTCAGTTTCCACTGATACAATTTTGTGATAAGTGCTGAGTGAGAAAATGTCTTAAGTCGAAAATTATCAAACGCAAGCATTGGATTCGTGGGGAAGATTTGTGGTCAATGCGGAAATAATCCGCGAACAAAAATACATTTACGAGGCAGCAATTACGCTGTCGGAGTTCGGACTAGAAATTACCTCAGGTCTTAGTCCTGCAAGAATCTTCGTTCCAGCAGTGAAAGTGAGCTTTCTCCCCTTCGCTTTTCCGGTGAAAAGAAGCATTTCCGTCGACGAGATAGAGCTCACAGAATTTATACAACAGCTTCCACTGATATTGTCAACAGGGCCAACTGGTAAAATTATGTATTTAACTTGGTCCAAACTCAGCTGTCTACAATGCGATGGTGAAGTTATGGTCTAGGTTGAAAATGGTTATATTTCGAAAGACTGGGTACCATAAGCAACTTGGTATTTAAAAAAATAGGAGTACTGTCTCGTTTGTACTTTTTTGAACTGGAAAACACCAAAATCTTTCCGTATATAGAATATTTATGTTCTGCAGAAGAGAGTGAGCAGAGCCACTGCATGGCGGACAACATGCGTTTTGGAAAAATGCAAATAATGCAAGATATCGACAGAAGGACATTATGGGAAATACATGTGTTAAATAGAGATTTACCTATAAGCTAATAATAATAATAAATGTTTTATAACTTTCAATTTGTGTGTGTTTTTTCTTACACCCTAAAGGTAAGAACAAGTAATGGCGTAAAATAACTTTATTAAAGAAAAATGCATATTTTTAAAATAATAATATTTTATCCTGCTAAATAAACAATACGTAGTCTGCTAATTTAACTTAAACTTCTTCTCTATTATTTTTTATTCTACGTCGTAAATTTTTTTCAACCAAATAGAAGTTTGGTAGTGCGGTTTTTTATAATTCGGTTTCATAAAACGAACCCTTGATTTCACGCCCCTCCATATTTTCAAAAATATACGTAAGAGGGAAGGAACCGCTTACTTTAACAATCTTGAAATTTTCGGGAGTCTAATTAATTTCATTGCTTTTGACAAAACCCCATTTTATGCGACTTATGCGCACTACATCGCGAACTTTGACTTTTTCGCTGCAATTTTTGGCAAATTATATACGTGAATCTTCGTTGTAAGGCTAATTTCTTAATGTTTCATTCCGGTGGTACTATGTTTTGTTTGATTATATTTTTTTATTTTTTCCAAAATATGTATCCATTTATACGTACTTTCAAAAGCATTCTGTTTATAGAGTAAACCTTTTAAAGTTCCTATTACGCGTTCTGCCATTTTGGTGCTGAAACTGTTGTAGTGGTTAATGTTATTGTGATTCATCAAAGCGCGGAAGTGTTTAATTAAAAAATTTAGTCCGTTAATCAGTTTGTAGATTTTCTGGTGAATATTTGGTCTTTCTCAATATGCTTTCCTTGGTTCCTCGTACTTCTACGGGTGTTTTGTTTTTAAGGAAACTGCTCCACACAAATTTTGAATAGCAATCGATAAGTACGAGAAAATATCTATTGTTGTCGTTGAATTTAGAATAATGTTGCATTTCAGCTAAATCAGCTTGCCATAGGTCTCCATATCCCTTGATAATCGAATGTCTACGAACGAAGTTTTTGCGTGACGGTTTAAATAGTTCATTAAGAAGAACCTTTTTTGTATTTTCTGATTCTCCCATTATTTTTCTTTCGGAATAATTGTTTTTAGATCTTTTGTTGCTAGGCTATATCACTAGTATGTTTCGGATATTCAGATATGATGGTTATATATACAGTATCGGCATCAGGGGCAGCTTTGAACTGAATATAATCACCCTCGTTTAGATACTTCCCTCTTATTTTGTCCAAAGAAGTATAGTCGGCATTTATTAAAACAGGAACTTAGACGAATATCTCTCTCCTTTTGAGGATAATGAAAATTCATTCGATCATCGCCGTCAATGTAAAATGAATTATGTAGTTTTTTAGTGGCTCGGTATCCTATAATCTTATATCCTTTATCTCTCCGTGCTACATCTCCAATATTTTGAAAATTCTTGGTTATCATCTCATCGAATTGTTCAGTTTCCGAATTAATAGAGTGTCCTAATAATGTTCTAATTGTTTTAAACATATATTCCAATTGAACCTCTAAGTATTTATTATTTACAGCACCTAAAGAGTGAGCCGGAGGGGCCACATTTGATAATCTTTTACCCCCTACGTCAATGTGCCCACTTCTCATTAGTTTAAATAGACCATTCCGCCCCCCGATCAAAGGTTTATCATAAACTCTACGCCGTCCGAATTTATCAATCGTATTAGCTCCTGCCATACTGAAAAGCCTACTGAAACTAATTAAATTGAGAAAATGTTTTTAAACCTAATAGATTATTTTTTTCTCGCAATTCTTCTATAATAGACAAAATTTCGTTTCATTTCATGACCTGAATGTCCTGCGGATTTAGATCCCCACAACAAACGCAATCTCGCAACCGGTTCGGGTGCTTTGTTCCAATATACATATACACTTTCTTATTGTTAAATGGTTTCTGGTCCAGTATTTCTTTCGTTATTTCATTTTTACACCTTTTCCCTCCTTATAAATAGTATAAATTCCTTTTTGTATAAAAAGCGGCTTTATAATTTCATTAAATTTGCGAGCTCTGGATTTATGTATTCCGTTCTTCTTTGTGTAATTTTGATAAATTGCATTTGTTTTCAGTATTATGTCTGTAAATATATCAGTGACATTTTTTACTAATTTTTTCGGGGTGCAGTAATGCATTCGGATATTTTAAAACCGATTGTTTGATCGTTTTGATACAAAATAACCTTGCCTGAAGCAAACTTTATTTCCAAGTACCCGACAAACATCTTTGCGTCGTCTTCACTATCGTTGCGAACCCCAAATAGTCTGTCGTAGTCGCGATGATCATCTCTTACGTTTTGCAAATGGCTTTCTACGGCCGAGAATCTATTTCTCGATAATACAGTTTCCGATAAAGGGGCTTCCATGATTCCTCGTATGTACTTTCGTCTGAAGAAGTTTCAGCGTCAGTATATGTTCCTTCAAGAGTTGACGAGTCACCTAATTTAGATATCTCATAGTTTGTCTTTTCCATTTGAGATTCCTTCTTCTCGATTTTTACATTCAAACCTGATTGGCTAGAAGTAGCTCTATCTTCGTTAAGGGTCGTTTTGATGGCTCCCAAAAGGGATTTTAGACTTGTTGTGACAAGTTGATAGAATGCCTCGAGTCCGCACTTGTTCTCAGTATGTCTGCTTCTTAAATAAATATTTTGGTGAACTTTGGTAAAGCTTTACGGATATATGTAGCAATCAAATCGTTTTCTGCATCTAGCACTGGTAATATTTATGACCAAGAACCCGTATTTATCGCCCCAGCATTTGTTGCACATTTCTAGGAAATTCACAAATGTAATGTCCGGGGCAACATGTTCAGAATAAATGTGTTTTAGATGAGTTTCCTCTTGTTTCAATAAAATAATAAAGTTTGCGTTATCACGTACTAATTGTTTAGCCAGATAAAAACTATCGATGTTATTGTGTCTTCCTCGCGAAAAATATTGTCCGACAACGTCTTGGTTTTGGTTTATAAGGTCATCGAAAATAAAAATAAAGTTTATTTTTCAAAAAAACTCCCACAGGCTACTGTAATGCTTTTTACAAAACTTCTGGATTCGTCCTGTGTCGGTTTGTGCTGAGTCGAACTTGCCAACGTTTCGCCAATCATACTGTTGGCTTCTTCAAAGATGAAACTCTCAAGCTCTCTAGGTCTGAAGAAGCCAACAGGATGATTGGCAAAACGTCAGCAAGTTCGACCCAACACATGTTGATTGGTTAATTAAAACGGTAAAAACCGTTAAATTGTAGAAAAGAGTAAACTCTTTTCTACAATTTAACGGTTTTTACTTACTCGAAATTGCTGACGTTTCGCCAATCATCCTGTTGGTTTCTTCAGAGCTTGAATGAAACTGGCTCGTATTTTACTCTGTACCTGCTTATATATTGGTTGCGGGGGGCGCTAATGAGCGGCATAAACACCGTCTCGGATGACTGATTCCCAAATTGGTGACAGGTAGAGACCTGAGTCGCGGTTAAGTTTGTTAGGTTGTTTATAGATTTCTATAGACTCTGGAATTTTTAGTTGGTAGAAGAACTGATTACATGCAAGAATTTTATTTTTATCGAATAAAATTTTATGCCCGGTTTCATGAGTGTGTTCGGCAACAGCTGATGAGTTTATTTGTCTTAGTCGTAAGCCTAGTTGATATTTTTTGTCCGGTCTCTCCAATGTATTCTTTGCCGCATATGCATGCAATGCTGTAAACTCCTAGCGTCTCCAATAGAATTTTGTCTTTGACGGACCGCAGATGTTAAGAGATAGGGTTTGCTTTTTCTTCAGACGGGTCCGCAATGTTTTCGTTATTATTAAAAGTAAATAACCCCAAACTGTCTATCACTTTTAGTATTTTCTGCAGGTATTGATATAATGATTTAGAATAGATGTGGACATTGTCAAATCTTAATCCCAAAGGGTTAGTTAAAAGCGACTTTATCGAGATTGTCAATAGAAAAACATTTTTTCAGCTTTACTGCTTGTATTGTGGCTTCGTTAGTGACTTCGGGGATGAAGCTCAAAAGAAAGTTGGGCGTGGGTATAATAAAAAGAAAAAGTAAACGCACCCGAAAACAGAATAATGCGGGGACGATAGCTTTCGCAAGGAGTTAGAAACGATTTAAAAAATAAAATACACGGTAGCAAAAAAATCAATGAAGAACATATCAAAAAAATCTTCAGCTCTGAGTATCGCTAAAATAATACCAGTCCCAAAGGTTGGCGGTTTATTACCATTGATCCCAATTTTCGCTGGTTTATCCGCACCACGATCTATAGCCGCTGGTGCCTCTAGTATAGCTCAAAAGCTGCAAGTATCGCTAAGAAAGCTCCAAAAAGTTTTAACAGCACAGCAACACAACAAAATGATGGACGCTATTTCTATAGCGAAATCAATAAACGCCACTCACGGATCTCCAACTAAAAAGATTTGCACGTAAATTTTACCAAAAAACAGACCTCGCAAAAATGCATGCGCAATAGTAAACTTGGGGGTGGAGGTAAAAGCAAGTAAGATATACATCTTACTTTGACAGTTTTGTAAACTTATCCCCTCCATCAGAATTAATCGAGTATTGCCACGCGGGTGTACACAGAAGTTCTCAAAACTAAAAAAAAAGCTAAAAAAAGAAGATTGAACTGAGGTGGCCTTTACTTCATTAAAATCTATTTATCAAAATAAATAAGAACTAAAAGTTCAGATTTTCACGAAATTATATATTTTGACATGTCGATACGTTCTCTCGGAATACTGTGGACTTTTATACCGCCAAGAAGCGGACGGTGCACGCCTCTATGATATTCTAATTAGTTAATCTAGTTTAGGATTGGTCCTAGTATTTTTTTTTTCAATAATTAATATAAACTACATTGAACTTGTCAGTCACACGTTCACGCTGTCAACTCGTCTAGTGTCATTTATGCGGATTTTTTTCCTCAAATTGAGCTCGATAAAAATAGCAGTTATAGTTTAGGTTTATTAGGTTTTTATTCTTATAATTCAATTTTTAACATATATTGTAATAATAATGTAATTGCTTATAGAGAAAAAAGAGAAGGTAAATAGAAAACTATAAAGCTCTCTGCTGGGGTGTACGAGATCGAGGAAATTAATAAAGTAATTTTATCTCACCTAAAAAAGGAAAAAAGTAGTGGAAATGAGCGGGATAATACTCTTAAATGCGACGTTGAATCTCATTATTTCGTTGATTTTACTGTTAATATCGACTTCGAAACATTTTGAGTTTCGGGTGCGTGACTTTCACTCCCGGTGAATATAATGAAAGTACGAATGATTCGGGTAGATTGTAATATTATTTCGGAGGCTTACATCAATGAAAAAAAATCTCGTGTTCGTTTCGAATTCGATATAGATATCGAGCCCGAATGTAAATTAACAAAAGAACCACGAAATATAATATATTTACCGGTAATCCCACACAAGCGGCAGTATATTGACAATATTGCTTTAAGAATTGTCGATCATCAGGGAGATCTTGTTAATTTTCATGGTGAAAAAATTATAGTTAAATTAGAATTAAAGAAACTTTTTTAATATAAACAAAAATCAATGGGTTTCTGTTTTAATTGCCACTCTTTTTACCTAAAAAGTCAAAATAATTTATTTAAATATCAGCGCTGTAAACAAGTCAAGAACGAGTTTAGACTTGTCGATCAACCCTAATCGGGAAAAATTGAATAAGTTGGATTCGGAATTTCTGAAATCCATTGTGTTAAGAGTACTAAATAGTTAAGATGGCATTGAGGCATAAGCTGGATATTTTTGAGGAGCCTATATTTGATAACTCTTATGTCAGTCTACACGAGCACAAATATAAACCTTACGGATCTCCTAATTATAGAAATTCTGATGAAATTAAAATTCTTGTAAATTTTCAAGTTCTGATTCTCGATATACCAGAGAGTTATATTTACATCGATCGTGAATTTCAACCGGATGATCCTTCAAAATTGTGCTACCTTTCGAATGATGCATTGGCATTCTTGTTCGACGAAATACTTTATGAAATGGGTGGGGAGCAAGAGGCTAACGTTACAAAACTCGGGATCGTGACTGCTCTTGGCTTTATTGCTTCTTTTGGAAAAACACAAGCTTCCCGACTAAATGTGGCCGATTTCGGATAAAACTAGTTTTAATTTTTAATCGGCTTTGCAGAAGATTACACTAGAGGAATAATCAACATTAAACAAGAGTTCTCACATAGGCGAGACCTCTGCTAAAAGAAAAATAGACAAAATAGAATGGAAAATTCGTCACATGGTACCAGAAAATAAATTGAAGATTAGGCCATCAAAACATGTACTACGTTGGAGGGACCGCGTCAGATAATAATTGCTTTTCAAGAAATCAGTAATTCCGATGTGTTCCAAAAAGACTCTAAAAGCGCTAGGTTATTAGGTTATATTTAAATTCTGATGTGTGCTGATGGTCACGCGAACAATATGTTCATGTCAAGTCTCATTGACACCTTTGGGGCCGTCATTGCTTTTCTTACGGGTGGGAAAATATCTGAGCTCTAATTAGCTTCGCCGCCATCGCTAAGGCGGGAAGATATTAGAGAAGGGGATTGATTAAACCCACATTGGTACTTGCTTATCAATGGGAGGAGTTCCAATGGATTATGGGTAAAGTGGGCGGTGTAAAGGTAGAGGAGTGCAAATATCCCAAGTTATACATATCAACTACTAACAAAATCAAAATAAGGGGTGGTTTATAAGACACTATTCGCAAACTTGTTTTTTTTCAACAACGTTCTACACACCTAACTCCTTTTTGGACAAAAAATTCTCTGTTAAAAATGTAGCATGCGCGTGTTGAATAGACCTTCTCAAATTTATTCGTAGTTGCTCTAGTACAGTCCGCCTCAATAGAGAAGAGCTCAGTGACGTCAGATGCGCAGAAGATTGTTCTGATGGTTTACGTTTCCTAGCTGTGTTTTGTTGGTGCAGTATCTTTGTTAAGGTTTAATGAAATAATATTATTTGCGCCAAACCGGTACAACGTTGTGAAAGCGCTAGGCATTGTACAATAAAATACACGTAATTAAAATAAGTGCCGCCATTGTTTCACCTACACGATAAAGAACGCAATAACGCCAGGAAATAGGACGCTTATTTCCGCACATCGAACAATGACGTCACTGGGCTCTTCTCCATTAAGACAGACTCTAGCTATACGGGAATTCTCGAGCAATATAAAGTTATGACGTGCCATACGATGAAGATGTCATCAAGATAGTCTTTAAAGTTACCTTACACGTCAGCTCGCGAAAATACGACTTAATTTTGAGTCCACTTAAGGCCGGGATTAGCAAAATTAGCAATCCTTAGTAGTAAACGTATTCGCATTTTTAAAACACGTTTAATCAATCCCTTAATTGTTAATATTTGAGATTTCAGGTTGAGGTTAACCCCCTTTTGTTGTTGGGTTTATTCCTTAAGGAAATATTTTAAGAAATAACAAAAAATGTACGAGTTAAATAATTGCATAATAGATGTAATTTGTCGAATTTCATGATAGGCATTAAAATTATCGAATTATTAATTCAGAATACGAAGTTTGGTAATTATGAAATAATTTACCAAATCATGGTATGGTGAAACGTAATGAAAAGCCAAAGTATTGAAAATCTGTTTTTTTTTTATTTTAAATAAATTACCAAGGCACCACTTTTTCGATTTATATATAAAAAAAACAAAAAACACTAATATATGATATAAAGATAATATATGTGTAGCGACAAGTTCCTAAGACATCAAAGTTTTTATGTTGCAATTTTGAGGTATCCATATATCCTATAAATCAAACTACAGCTAAAACAACATCTACATAAAAAACACTAGTAATAAAAAAATTAATGTATACAACGAAATGCAGGTCGCAATAAATCGCCAACAGTCAAGTACGATTGTACGTGACTGCTTACCAATAATCTACTTATTATACACATCCATCAATAAAAACTATTAGGCTGCGATTGGCCAATTTCGTATTGTTCATTCGTAATTCTTTATAACTCCGTTTCGCAAACGTATTCGTATTTTAACATCCAATTTTTTCTATTGGTGAAGTTTCGATGTCAACAAAGCTGGTCCATAGTATGATGTTCACCTGAAATTAAATAAGTAAGTATATGGCTTGGTAAGTGAGTCACTTTCTTTCGTAATGTGGATTGATTAAGCCAATGGCCAAATAATGGTGTTAATATTTTAATGATTTTTATTTTTATTTGTTGCGGGGATCTGTGGGTGATATCGTGCCATATTTCAAAATCGTGAAACTCTGCGTTTAATAAACTCAAATTACCAAAAAAAAATATTATGCGGTCTTATTACTTTGTCTGCTAACACGACAATCAATAGATTCCCTATTGATTTTCGGTACCAATTGATGTACAAATATTGCTCATATCATATATTTAAACCGCAAAAAATAGTCTAATTCACTACTAAGCAAAAATAGTTAAGCATAAATTTAACTCGGTTTAATCAATTTCAATTACACAAAAAAAGTGCAACTACTTTTTCATTCAGCAGCTCAAAAGATTCTTGCTTTTAGCAAAATCACTAACCACTCGAGAATTCACTAGTTTCAAATAGAAAGGACACTTAAAAAATTTTACACAAATTATTCAACAAGTTCTAGTTTCATTATTTATTCATTCCGTAATTGTATCAAATACCATAGTCAGTTTAATACCTTAATATATTGTAAGGAATTTCGATGAAACTAGTTGTACAAAGTTGTTAAAAGTTCATAATAACCTCTCACTGATTCACAAACTCACAAACTGTTGTAGATATATCGTCATTTGCAACCAATTCGTAAATTAAACAATAGACCGATGTTTGAGGGGTCGTCTCTGTTTTAACTTTGCATATAAAGAATGAAGAAGTTCATCATTGACACCTTAACAGTAGATTTCAATGAAATTAATCATATTAATGCTCTGCTGTTATTAACGAAAATGTAATTGTATTACATATTTTTACATCACGTAATTATTAGATTTAAACTAACATAAACTTAACTCGAGACTTTAGTGGAAAAAATGAGAAACAAACCATAAACATTATCAGTACCGTAATTTTTTTCGAATGAGCCCAGAAACATTGGATAGGTTTTTTTAAAAAAAATCGAAAAATCCCAAACAAAACCCAAAAGACATAACCACATATGATGGCAAATTTTTCCACCGACAACCTAAAAAGTTAAAATAAATTCAACTCGATATGTGTCGCTGGCGAAGGGTAATAATTTGGCTTTATAAGCAAGTGTACAGTGAGTAATTACGTTCATCTTTATGTGATTAGAAAATTACATGTGAGCAGTAAAATGCGCAGTAATCGAACCAGCCTATCGAAGAAGCTAGTAGGTAGTTAAATAAGTTTTGCATTGTATTTCTCGAAATTTCTTCTTCTTCTTCTCTTCCTCTTACATATAAGTAAATTGCTTGTTTTTTTTTGTTCTTTTTGACTGTTTTAGACCATTGGGAGATTGTCATTCCATCACTTATGCTCCTAGTGATTTGTCTCTTGTGATCCTTATTATTCTATCGTCGATTATGCGATTAATGTGTTCATTCCATTCCTTTATCCTTTGCGGTACCCAGTCGTTGATGTTATCTATTTTGCATATTATTCTGATGGTTCCTAGTCATTGTCAGTCTGACAGTGTTTCGGTTATAGTAACACGACCTCTACAATAAGGTGGTGAAACCACAAACGCTATACTGATTTCATCAAAAGTAGTTTTTATTTCTTAATATCTATTGCAAGTGCAGTATCCTACTGTCCATGGTACTAAAAGGATTATTTAATTAAGGTTTTATTAAATCCTACTTCTAATATTCTACTAAAAAATAATATTAAAAAATATGATAAAGTCTCTATGAATCTTTTAATGCTTGTTCAAGTGTTTCTTAAAATTTAATTTTATATTACTTAATTTTAAAAATATATTTTCATATTAAAAATAGGTACATGTCACTCGTACGTGTCTGCACTTAAACTGTGCGGACACGTACGAGTGACATGGACGCGCTGCCTCTGAAGATGCCAAGTGATATTTTGGCGAAACGTAAGGCGAATGATCCTACTCCAGGGTCAAACAACGAACGGATGAACACCCGGATTACCACCAATACATATATATATATATATATATATATATATATATATATATATATATATATATATATATATATATATATATATATATATATATATATATATATATATATATATATATATATATATATATATATATATATATATATATTTTATATTTCACTTTTCACACTTTAAATTAAAATTATAATCAAAATGAAATTGGACATAATAACCTCGTGACGAGAGAATGTTATTAGACCGTTAAAATCAAACTAAAAATCGACATAATAACCTCGTGATGAGAGAATGTTATCAGACAAGCCTTTTACAGTAAAAATTAGTATTTATAATGAATTTATGCTGACGTTGACGGGGTCGACGGCTGCGAATGTTGCGACATATTGTTGACACGACGTTTTCGCAATCGTTGCACTCTTGCAAGTCGGTGGCATCTGACCCATATGGACAATAGGATTTCCGGATACCTATTTTTAATATGAAAATTAATTTTTTAAAATTAAGTAATATAAAATTAAATTTTAAGAACACTTGAACAAGCATTAAAAGATTCATGGAGACTTTATCATTATATTTTTTAATATAATGATATATGATGTATAAACCCGGAAGAATTTACAACACACACACACACACACACACACACACACACACACACACACACACACACACACACACACACACACACACACACACACACACATATATATATATATATATATATATATATATATATATATATATATATATATATACCGCCTCGGTGTGCATTTTAATTAAATTATTTTTTTTTTAATAATTAATAAATAATAATAAATTTTAATTAAATTATGAACGTCTTGCAATCAGATATAACGCTTCCTTAATGTGATGACTCATACTCTTGCGTTTCACTGCTTTGTAATATACGAGGTGTTAGGCCTGATAAGGTAAGGAGAAAATTTCTTATTATAAACCTATTTGAACCCAACAAAATATATAATCGGCATCAAAGTGGGGTCCAGATTCACTAAGTAGTTCTTACAATTGATAAGCTTTGGAACAATAAAATCAAAAAAATAGTGCGAACTTTCCAGGCTCGACATCCAAATGAAACTGTGACTTTAACACGTTACCTCGCTCAGTGGCTGAAATAGGTACCCCAGCACGTAAAACACTCCACCCTTCGCAAATTGTAGTGACGCTTCTCGTTCCTGGCGCGCTCCTCCCTTTGGTTGTTGTCGAACAATTTTTTAGTGATCCAAGTGGTGACGTACTCAACAGCCTTTTCAATCACCCACGAAACGACTCGCTCACCTGAAACGGACAGCTCTAACGCCTTATTTAAAAACTTCTTCAGCCGCTTCGCGCTGGCGGGATCGACGTAATTGAAGAACGGGTCGAAATATTTCGAATCTCCGGTCTCCTTCCATTTGTTATATTTCTTTTCCCAACTGTGGACGATTTCGTAGAAAACATTCATCACGAGCATCATTACTTGTCTACACGCTTGATACGTCCCCTTCATTAAACTGTTCAGTTCGTTAATCAGGGGCTTGCTAAGAGTCATGAGGACGGTGTGCACGACTTGTACCACCTTCTCGGTTGTACTCTTGTCAAAACAAAGGACAATCTTGAATATACCGGTGAGGTAGGTAAGGGTCTTCGCCGAGTCCAAGGTCCAACCATCAAGCGACCAGCTAAAACCTTCGCTGGGGGGGCTGGCGTCGATTTCCGTCGCTTGCTGATTCATCAGATTTTCGAAGAACGTCTGCGTTTGGGTCTTAGTTTGCCTCGCGAATTGGTCCATGTTGATCGCGACGCCGTTGAGCTTGATCTGGCCCTGATCCGCCGAAAACTTGATACCCTCACGGTTCATCGCTTTGTTGTTGCGAGTCAATGCGGCGAATAGATCGTCCTTGTTTGGTATATTGCGTATCGTCGAAATTACCTCCGCTCTGCCCCTCGCTTGGTTCCCGCCCTGCTGCCTGATTGTTTCCTTTGTCAGTTTCGTGAACGTTTTCCTGCGAAGAAAATAAAAACCTAATGGGTTGGTGTTCCTGTCACACGGCTCCCTAGTAACATTCTAGTTTTGTTATGAGACGTTCGAGCTAGAGCAAGGAGAATTTAATTATCTCTTGGTTAGGTCAACCAAAAAAATATATTTTTTACCACACGGAGTTCAACAAGCGAACGGAAGATGTCCCGGTTGACCTAACCAAGAGATAATTAGATTCTCTTTGGTCCAGCTCGAACGAAAATAATAAAAATATAATTTGCATAATTTGCTGAGCCGAATTTGCAATATTTACATTTGACAAGTAGAATTATCTAAATTAGTTATACCAAAGACGTTTTTATGCTCGTTATATATTCAGTGGTCAGTGGTTCCGATAAATTTAAAAAAACTACCAAACTACTAATCAAAACTGACCAAAAACTATAATATATGCTTACATAAAATCAGAAAGCCAATAGCACCCTTGAAAATTTTATATCAAAATTTAAGAAAAACGTGGATGCTTTCTAATAAAAATGGTTCAAATTTGATCTTGGCGTCACACATCATTCAACAATTTTAAATAAATAACGTACTTAGCAGAAAAATAATATTTATGAGTGACTTGAAAAACAGAATCAAAATCATTGACCAAATGTGTTGCACGAGTACTGGAACAAATCCGTAGAACATGCATAAATCGAAAATGAATATTGCGTGCAATTTATTTGAATGTTACCATATAACCTTTAAGTTCTTCATCCGGTTTAATAACCCCTGTTACTGCAAATAAACTTCTGATCATGCAGCGAAGAATTGTCAGCAAAACGTCATCCAGGGAGAAGAATAACGGGTCAAGAATATACGAGAAAGGTATGAAAACAGTAGCGTTCAATTATCAATCAAGAATAAGCAAGAGGGACTACTGTTTTAAAGATAAGACAAATTTAAATCTTGTTTGTTATATTTCTGAAATATTTCTGTAAGTAATAAACTCAGGCTTTTGAAATTGCGACTGCTTAGCTTCTCAACACATGGCGTTTTTGATATAATCGAAAAAGAAGTATTTACCTATTTAAATGGTTAAATAAAGACCCCGCAGTGAAAGCTGCATGTCATTATCATTAGCCTAACCTAAAATATGAGTGACAGAACTTAAAATTTAAATGGAATTTTGGGAAACACTTAAATTTTCAAATCGAACGCTAGTTTATTATTTACGTTGCCCTTATTGGGTTACCCGGTATACCCACCTGTGCCTGTTACTCCTCAATGAGTCGGCGTAATCCTGTAACACCCGAGTCTGCGACTCCTCGACGATGGTCGACGCGGTTTTAAAATTAACCACCGAGTTTGTAAAAAACAGCATGGAGGTGGCCAGCTGGAGGAGCGCCAACCTGGACGGGGTTCGGTTTTCCTTGATCCACTGCTCGAATATTACTTCGTGACCGCTGTTGAGGAGGCTGGCGCCGCTCGCCCCGACCTTTGCTACTGCGATCGTGTTGGCTAAGATGCGAGCCCCCTAGAACGAGCCAGCACCAGGTGCATCAACTTAAACTCAAGAGACCCGAGATAAATCACTCGTAGAAGTGCCAAATTCAAATTTTAATATCGTACCTGTCCAATATTGGCGCCCCGGGCTGCCAACTGTGTCAACACGGTGTTTGCGCCGGCGCCCACGAATCCTAGAGAGCCCGCGAGTATGTTCAGGTAGGCGCCGCGCGCCTCCGAGTTCGCGAAACTCATCGACTTGAACAATAAAAAAATCACGTTTGCTTGCGAATTTAATAATTGAATTGAACATTTTTCAAGGAAAAATCTTTTTTCTAAAGGAGGTAGATAAAAACTGAACAAAACATCATATCCCATTTTTCAAAACTTCGAAATTTTATCTACTTGTTCAAAGTCAATGTAACACAGACAACACAATATGTGGGGATAGTCTAACTGCCATTAGAAGGATTAGCGATTCTGTTTTAGAACATGTCTTTGTAAATTTGGTTCTAAACAATTTTTGATTATTACCACCATTCGGGCATTTATGACACTAGAGTTGCTTATGCCTCTGAAACGTTGTTAATTGTTACTCAACACCATCCGGCATATGAAATTAGTGGTTCCCTACTGTGATTCGGGTCTTACATATGATATTTTTGTTGGAATTAACGATTATTTAGACAGCGTACCTTGGGATGATGCTCTTGATTCTAGCGATGTTAATATATCTGTAGATTTTTTATGCAGTATTCTGTACTCTGCTGTTGAACTGTTTGTTCCAGTTAAACGTTTTAAATCAACTTTCCATCTTGGTTTAGCAGCCACTGGCTTTTGTAAAATACTTAATAATTATAAACCGTGCGGAAAATTAGAAATAAAAGCTTTATTTCTATTACGTACGAAGTAGAAGAAAAACCATAGATTAGATTGTTAGAGTATACAAAAACAACGAATTTATTGCGTTGCGTTTTGTTACGTCAAAGACCAGGTCAAAGACGGTATACGTTTCTTTACTCCCTTCTGTAAAGTACCTAACTTTACCACGTAAGTTTCTTGTCCCACTGATCTGATCCACTTCGGACATTTCCGGGATATTAGCGCACGACTTTGGGAGCTATCGGATGTTTTCAGAGATATTATCGCACGGCTTGAATTTTGAAGTGTGTCAATTCTGACGGTATTATTGAATGTATTCGTGTTGTTTTGCAAAAATGTACAAAAAAACTAACAGTTGTAGAAAAAGTATAGTATGCAACAAGTTTGGTAATTTTTTTAACTCACTCGTTTATTACTCACTCGTGACTCAACTGTTGTTTACCATATTTGTTGCATAATATACTATTCTATATATATATATATATATATATATATATATATATATATATATATATATATATATATATATATATATATATATATATATATATATATATATATATATATATATATATATATATGATGACACTATATTCCGGGATATCATCCGTTCGCTCGTTGAACTCCGACTGGAATCCTGCATCCGACTGGAATCCTGCAAATCTTGCATCCGACTGGAATCCTGCAGACGTTTCGCCAAAATCTCACTTGGCATCTTCAATGCTCGCGCTCCGTGTTCGAAGTGTTTGCAGATGATTTTAAATTTTATAAAACAATTGAATCATTCACCGTGACCTTAATAATGTCAGTTTGCGGTGCAGAGAAAATGGTCTTGATCTAAATATTGTAAAGTATTTTAGTATTACTTTTTCTGGCTTAACTAACACTTCTCATATATTAATAACAACAGAACGATAAAGTGTGTCACCAAAGTTAAGGACCTTGGAGTTATATTTCGTAGTAAACTGACCTTTTTGGGTCAGCTGGAAGACTTTGTTAACAAGGGCACGACAAGTTTTGGTGATAGTACTACTGCTCTAAGGACACTGTTTTCAAAACCCATTATTCCTCCTTAGTTAGATCTACACTTGAGTATGCATCAGTAGTGGTCTCCACATTACAGATGTGATGTAATAGATAAAGACTGTTCAAAGGGCATTTCTGAGATTCTTAGTATATGAAGGACCTACTCCAATATATTATATTATAAAATTTTGAATGGTCTGGCTGTCCTCCAGTCCATTGGTTTTAAAATCTATGGCTCCTTTAACTCGAATCTCGAGATTAGTTAATTTAATTTATTTGATCCCTTTGCTAGCCGACAATTTAAGACAAAATTAAATTAGTAACTAGCGTGAGATTGTTTTTTCTACTATTTTTATATTTTTTATATGGTTTTTGCCCAAGTTACTGTTTTGCCATGTTGCAATTTTTATTTATATTTATATTGCTATCTTTTTTTTTGTAAATGTAGGCTAACTTTCAGGAACTCTGTGTATAAAACAGGCTACTAGCAAAATAAAAATTAAAGGCCAATATAGTATCAACTATTTTTGTTTAAATGTAAAAGATAAAATATTAACATTATTATATATTACGTGTCACAGAACTTGCAAACCTCAACAAATATTTTTAAGTATTTTTTATTTATACTTCTTGGCAACTGCTTTAAAAAAATATTCCGGATAGCAATATCATCTTAATGAATAACAGAAATGGCATCACTGTAGTATAACTGATACAACCCGTTATTTTATTGTGAAGTTAAAGAAAAGTCCGGTTACTTATAAACCTAGATTATAATATTATAAATATAATCAAGTTGAGCTAGGTGGGGTAATTTATGAAATTTATCAAATTTGAAATCAAATGTATGTACTGAACATGTGCGGCTGCACAAATGCGGCATACCGTTTTACGCCTTCTTCCATATCATTGTATAATCAACGTCATAGAACATTTTTGTGGCACCTAATAAAGTCAAATGTGAGAGCAGAAAATGTTACTTCTGTTTCAAGTTCCGAGAGTAATAAATTTAATTAGAAATGTAACTAGTAATCTCCCTGGCAGATCTGAAATACTGTAATACAACAGATTTTCAAAATTGAAGATTCTTGCATTTGAATATAAAATACCATAGAGCTCATTATAATTAATCTGGATGACAACTCTGAGAGTCAAATTATATTTTGAATAAAGACGTACTCCTTTCGGTAATTATTGATAATTTGTACATATTTAGTGTCATCGTATTTTCTATTAGTACTAATGTGATTTGCCATATAATATTTGTCCTTTTTTTTTAAATAACTTTCCCGATGCTCAGTCAGGTGTTTTATTTTGGTCGGCAGGTTATTTCGAAAATTTCCGTCAAAAATCAAGACGATATATTTGGAGACAACGTATACCTGATTGTGAACACGCCTATCGTGTATCTGGTACGAACTGCGGCCGATGGCGTAACCACCCACTACGGCCCCCACTACAGCACTGCCAATTAACACAAACGGCGCGACCGTGATGGCGGGAATAGCTGCCGCGACGAACACACCCCCCGACAATACACCAGCCACGGTGCTGGTAGTATCGACCGCCTGCAGTATCTTGGCATCTTTGTGACAAGCGGGCGACAGATGTTTCTCGAGAAGTACGAAGTTGTCACTCGTTTGATACCTGTTTTTTAAAATATCGTCAGCCGCATAACTAACTAATTCACGGGGATAGTATTAGTATAACGTTTACGGTTATTGTTACATTATTCAATGTTGTTAATCATTTGCGATGTCCAGCGACGAAGAAGTTGAGATTGTGGTCGAAGACGTAATTATAATTTTAAATGTGAGAAAGCGGAGCCATGGTCGAATACTGAGATGGTTCACCTATGATGCGAATCAGAAGAATATTGTCTCAAAAAATTAACACTTTACATGAAGAGTTGCGTAGTGTTTTGAAAATTGGCTGTTGCCAAGAGACTGGTTTGTATTACAAAACCATCAGTAAGAGACAAGTTTTGATTCAATCAAGAAGAATTTCGGAGTGGAGGGCGAGATATCTGAGAGAAATCCAAGAAATTCGTGCCAAAAACGTCCCCATCATATATTTAGGTGATAACTGGTTTATCGGGCTCTGAAGTTGGTTGGGTATATAACGCGTTGTTGCTTTCTTCAAAAGATGTCAAAGAAGAAGAATAAAAATGGTTTTGCTTCCCAATATTCCACCAAACAGAGTTGTCGTGATCAACATCGCCAGCTACCAATCTGTGTAAGCAGGAAAAATACCACCGAATTCATCATCGACTAAAGGAGTCATTCAAATTTTTTTGCTTGTATTTTGAAAATTCCTACACAAAGAAGCAGTTATTGAAAGTTCTAAAAACGGGAACGTTTGATAAGATGTACAATATGGACAAGTTGGCCATTCAAAGTTGTACGGCTTCCACCATATCACTGAAATTTAAATTCGATTGAACTGATACGGGAACAGCTGAAACCCAGTTTAAGAAGAAATAACACCTCGGCGAAATTTTGTTCAAGAGTGGTAAAATGAAATTATGTTCGGTCTGTATCGGTCATTTATGCTCTCTATTGTAAATTCAATACCAATAAATGGGATCTGTTGTCATTATTGACCATTTATTATCTTATCTGATACACGTGGATTTGGGTGAGGCAAGCATAACCGTAAAGCACATTTATTAGAAAGCAATGAAAGCAGTACCAAAAGAGCAGAAGAAACTTTTAATGAAGGTAACACAGTGACAAAAATGTAGTCGCCAAGCTTTCATCCAGTCTGTTAACGAGTATGTTAAAAGAGATCGATTTTTAAACCCTTTAGTGGTGCCATTCTCTATCATTCATGACGCATAGATAAGACTCCAACTTCATCTTGCAGAAATAAAGAAACTTTCCACTGATTACGTCCAAAAATATTGAATTTGGAGATAATTTCATGAAGAAGAAACTGTCGTGGAAAATATAGCTACTGTTTGAGGAAGTGACAGCTGAGAACTGATAACTTTACGGATCACGGAAACCCAAATGGCCAAGAGAACGAAACCTGTGCCTCGATTTATCCAGAGTTACTGACTGAATTACTGACCCAACCTGAACCTCTTAACCAGCAAGCAAGATATACGTCCGATCAAAAAATATAATTCACCAGAATCAACAGTTCTAGATTCTCTACTTCCTAAAATTTCCCAACATCTACGATCAGCTAAAGTTTCTCTCGACACCGGCAGGTGCTTACAGTATACCGTGCGGCTGTAGCAAAAAGTACATCCGAGAAACAGGTTGACAAATATCAACTAGAATAAAATCAGAATTTGACAAATAACATCAGTAGTTTGTGAAGATCATTACGAAACGAGATACCAGATTTTATCAGATGAGACTAAAGACTTGCATATAGCAATTAAATTCCCTTCCGCGCTCGTCTTGCCGCTGGCAGATATTTAAGGTCCTGCAGGGCAACCGACCGTAGGTTTCAGAAATGGGTCTGAAGAAGTCAGCGGCAATCAAATTCAATAGGCTGCGAAAGTTTCTTTGGAAAAAATAGTTTTGGTTCTAATAACTCTATTTGAAAATGATTGACTATAATTCTAGACAGGTTAATCGTAGGAATGAGTAATAGAAAAGATGAAATCACGAAAATAAAAAGTACTTACTGTGAACAAGTTTATAAATTACTGACAAAATATTCCTACCACCCATAAGGCGAGCGTTATCTTGTAATTTTAACTTAACAGTACATCTACCTGCCGTCCGAGGGCACAGTCATCTCGCACTCCGGAAGCTTGTTTCGCGTCAAATACTGGCGCCAAGATTGGTAGACGCGGCAGCAGTCATCGATGAAGATCCGGCAATTATTTTTGCTGCCGCGACATTTACGCAGTACGAAAACCGGTACCGGTGTTATATCCGTCTTCGGATTGTATTTAACGTATTTCGATGCCCTTTTTAATCTCTCCTTGGGTAGCGGCTGGGTGCAGTTGTATATAAAGGCGATTTCCACGCGGTCCTGGTATTCCGCGATTTTCGCTAAAACCGGAGACGTTTATTAATAATAATACTTTATTGCCAACCAAATCAGTTACAATAATGACACAGTTAGGTTTAAAATACAATTAAAATGGAACTTCACAAACACTTATGTCTCAAAATTAAAATTTTAGAAACATTTGTCATTTAAACTATAGCTTGAGGTAACATTTTAAATGCTTTTATTGCCCTATGAGAAAAAGCAGACATATGAATGGAGTTGCACTTCTTGTAAGCAGAAGCACATCTTTCGAATGAAGGCTCTGGTTGTATGGTCTGCACGAGGCTCTAGGATGTAGATATAACATATTCCTTATAATCTGTTTTTGCATGCTGGCTATTTTAGTTGTGTGTGTAGAGGACCTCAAAGATCATAAGACAGTGTTGATTGTATTTTATTTTGATCATTTCAAAACACAAACTGTTACTGTTAGTTGAGGATGAACCTGTAATCCCAAGAATTTGATGTTTTCTACAGTTGTTATAATTTAAAAGTTATCAGCCCGGTTTTGGTTAGTGTTACGTTTAAGGAAATTGTTGTCACACCATCTCATCATGGTCTCCAGAGTCCTCGTGCAAATCAGCGAAAGTACCTCCACGTCTACACTAGATAACGCTATAGAAGTGTCGTCGGCATAGCGACAAACAAGTTCGCTATTAAAACATTTGACATATAATAGGAGTGAGGGCCCCAAAATGGATCCCTGAGGAATCCCTTCACTTAATCTCACGGGCTGCACCCCTCATTCCCTAGCACTCCAATTTAGCAATCAATATCTCATGATCTACAATGTCGAAGGTCTTTGACAGATTAAGTCAGCCCCTTTTTCTTTATGAGCCAAATGTTTAGTAGTATACGTGATAACAATAAAGATGACCATTTCCTTGGATCCTCCCGGTCTAAATTCAAATTGTCATTTAACATATTGTATTTTTATAAAACGTGAAATAACAAACCTTCTCAAACACTTTCGACACTGCAGGGAGTAGTGCGACAGGTCTATAATCCTCTTTACATTGTTTATTACCATTTTTGTATATAGGAACAACTTTTGGGGGAATACTTGTTCAGTTAATGGCGGTAGCTAATGACTAATTCACAAACTCGTCCACAGACTTCGGTATATTTGTTGGGATCTCATTAAAACCCGATGAAAACTTACTAGACAGTTAATAAATAGTCTAGATGTTCATGTTCAATGTTCATCGACTGGGTTAAGGTAGATTGTGGTAGATTTAACATTTTAAAATAAATTTCATTCTGATGTAGCTACTTTATTGATACTTGATAATAGAGGCATTTTTGAAGCGTGTAAATATTGAGATGGACCCCTTGACGTGAGCATGCGCGGTCATTTCAAATCTCTTTTTCAACCAATAAGACCTAGCGGCGTTCAACAATCCACGTGGACGCTGACAGTTCGTCAATTCGACAGATTTCAATTTAGATATAGCATTTTTAAGGCAGTATTTTCGCAAAATTGTCTCCGACCTCCTAAAATGTTTTGGAGTGTGTAGAGATCCCTTTTAGAAAGAAAATGGCGCAAAATGTAAGAGGCTGGGTGAAACTTAGAGGCATGCCGGGAAAATCATTCCCTTCTCTACTGTTATGTATTTAACATAATTTTAAATAATTACAATAGACTCTCCGAAATAATCTTTATTTGTTGAAGCTATATACGATATACATAAAGCGCGTAAATGGTGCGAGTCAATACAAGCCAGTCAAAATAGAATACTGTGTTCACAAGTACACTACATTTTCTCCTCTTACTAAAAATAAAATTTACTTTTGCAAGTCTAGTTTCTGAAGAGATTTAATAATGACCGACAGAATAATTTTGTTTATTAGGGCTTGATACTTCTTTACTTGATTGTTCAACTTCTGGAACTGTAGACACAACCCGGGTTTTCACTGGCGTATAATTTTGCATAGAAACTGGCAGCTTACTACTAACATTAACGTTGTGCAAAGGTGATCAGGGATTATTATCAAGCAGGAGCACTTTGTGAAGAATATTCTTTTGAAAAGGTTTCCTGTACATTCAAATCATTAGAAATATCTTCATATCAATTTCGAATATCATTAGCATAAACATGTTTTATATTATTATTTACATGAAGTAAATAAATTGAATGACTTAATATTTTTACAACTTTGCCTTTCTGCCAGACTTTCAATAGCTTATCTTTAACATACACAGCCTGATTCACTAGTTTTTCGAAAAATTTCCATGCTGTTGTTTATATCTGGACGTTTTTTATTCTGAAAAGGTTTCAATAAATCAAATCGAGTTCTTGGTCTTAATTTGAAAATACGTTATGAGGGAGAAATGCAAATAGAAAAATCAATAGACTGGTTTTTAAAACGTATTGACTTATTTCCTTTTTTTTTACGAAAAATTCTAAGTTTCTTTATGGGTGATAAGGTAGAGATTTTAAGGGTTTTATCCCATCCTCGTCGCCAAACTTTTTTTTTTAAATAATTACATTAGACACTGCGACACAGCATCATACGACATTATATTAAGCGAAATTGGCGCGAATCTCTATGGTCCTAACCTTAAAATAGAACACCATAGAACAATATTTAGAAAAGTACACTACAACTATGAAAATATCAATGCCGCCTGCAGCGCATCATTTTTATTTACCGTGGTAAGGCCACTATATTATCTCATAGCTATACGGCATATTGAATGGGCCTTACCAAAATTTGTTTTATAGTTCCTGTATTATCTCTAGTAGCTATATGAGAAATATACATACCGCTTTCCTTAAGTATAACTTCAAACAGTTGCTGGCTTTTTTTCTTCATTTTGTTGTCATAACCGAACTCGCTGAGCGGCGGCCCGAACAAAGCGTATTCAATCTTCTGAATCAGCTTCGGATGATCTACTTTATCGAAGCGGTCGTAATCGCGTTCGCCTAACATTTGCGCCATCTGCTCCTGGAACTTCAAGACGTCGAAGTCGTTTTCGTTCGAAGTTTCGCTCTCGATTTTGCGCAGCTCCTCCTCCTGTTTGATTTCATCGTGGAGCGTCGTTTCGGCCTCCTTCATGGTGGCCATTATATTCCGGTACGAAATCTTGCCTCTCAGGCAAGCCATCACCTCGATAGTGCCGTTGAACGGCAGTATGCAAAAGGCAGCCGACGCTTTCTGCGACACCAACGATGAAATATTGGAGAGTGCGGCTCGGTCTAAGGCTCGTGTGATGGCATCGTGACAAGTCGGATCGTCCAGGTTCCACCCGAGGAAAAAGAAACTTCCTTCGACGGTTTTCGCCAATTCCGTCTTCCTCAAAGCGTCGTTGAAGTTTCGTCCGAAGTCGTCCAACGAGTTGTGCAGGTAGAGCAGCAGTATCTTTTTCTATTTACGGGGTGAATTAACGATCACTAACTTGTCGATTGCAAAAGTTATGAGAAAATGGTAAATACAGAAGTTGTAAAGATTGTTAGGATGCAAAATTGAAATTAAAACACGACGCATAAAATATACATTTTTTTAATATGGAACGCCCCATTTTCAAATTCGGTTTTGAATTTATTTTAAAATTCCTCAATTTTTTTTTTCCAATATTTTAATTATTCTAAAAATATATTGGTTTTCACACTTGCAAAAAAAAAATTAAAGGTAGATAGATCACTCATATTTGATCGAAGATGACGTAAAACATATTTGCAACGGAATTTCAATTAGATGCTAGAGGATGTTCAAAATATATTTGGATCATTTTAAATTAAACAATCTCGATTTTCTTAAATTAATTTTTCTGGAAGATCTTTCAAAAACCTATGAATTTTATTAAATACGTATGTCATTTTTATTTACGATTTATTTTAACTTTTACAAATTTTTCCCTGTTTTAAGACCATTGTTATAACAATAGTTGACCATGACAAGATGACATTGTCAAATTTTTACCTGACAACTCAATAAGTAAATTCGTAAAATTTACTGTGGTGTCAGTAAATTAAAAAAAAAGTATGGATTTTCCTAAAACCAGCCGACCATCCAAAATGCCACCTACCATTTGCGCTGCTGTCAGCAATGTACAAGTTGCTGGAATGACTTATCTACAACAGAATAAGTTTAGTAATACTTAAAGATATTCTAATTGAACAAGCGAGTTCAGAACTAAATGTAGCTGCAGTGACCAAGCTACCAACAACTAACCACAAATATCAAAATTTGCTTTCAAAGAAAACTAAAGAGTTCTGTCGCGTTTATTGACCTGTCAGCAGCGTATGATATCTTCTGGAAAAATTGCCAGTAAACTCACATCTAGGCTAATAGAAAACACACTTAACGACAGAGTCTTTTAAGTGATGAGAAGCCAGCCATCCCAGGAAGCTTAAGAATGGCGTCCCACAGGACTCGGTGCTCACTAAAGTTTGGCTACGGCGACGACTGGGCCACTCAAGTAAGATCAATAGAAGAAGCCGAGGAGAGAACAGAGGTAATCTGCTTCCATTTAAACAACAAAATGGCCGGCAGAAAACTTAATGTTCACTTTGAGAACACTTTACTCAATCACAATAAAAACCCAAACAAAATACATGGATGTCACTCTTGACAGGACATTAAGCGTTAATGATTAACACTGAGGAAAAACTGAAAATAATATCATACAAAAGCTATGCGGCTTGACATTGTCAGCTCTGGATCTTGTTTATTTGGCAGCGGAGTACTGCGCCTCAGCATTGTTCAACAGCGCTCACGTTCAAGTTTGATGCACAACTAAACAGCACCATGAGAATGATCGCTGGTGTAATCAAATCCACCACAACTCAATGGTTACCCGTTTTGAGCGACATAGCACTGCCCCATCTACGCCGAATAAATCTGCTGATAAACGAATACAGGAAGAAATTTAACATTAGAGAATTCACAGTACACGACCATACTGAAGAATCCAATAAAAACCGACTACGGTTTAGAAGACCACCAACAAATACCGTAAAAATTGCCATCGATACTGAGTTTGACATCACTGACAAGTGGATTCACGAATGGTCGAGAGCTGCATCACAGAAAGATCCCCTGGATTTGGTCACCTTAGAACCCAACACAGTAAATGCGCATCCTTTCTGAACAAGTGGAGAAAGCTTCCTTCCCTCTGGTGCGACTGCAGGGAAGCTCAAACGATCCAACATATAATCATATAATCGAGAAATGTCCCCAACGAATATACGGGGGAGCCCCGAAGATTTCCCGTTTGCAACGCCAGTAAATTATTAGCTAGGTTTGTTTTACTTGATATTTTGTGTAATTGTTGGGTATATTGTTGAGAACTCTGTGTCGAAAAGTCATACGCTAAATAAATAATAAATCTCATCCGTGTTTGATGGGCCCGTTGGTTGCTAGTGATAGTATTGAATATGAAAAACGAAAGTGAACCGGAATGCTACCAATGAGGAAAAGAATTGGAAATTTTACTCGAAGTTCAAGGTAATCTCCAAGTCGGAAGCTGTCAAGTAGTAAACTTATGTGATACACCCCACTCTACCGTTAATCGCACCAATATAAACCACCAATATCATCCTTTCCGTATGGACCTGCACCAAGGACTTCTAAACCCTGATTTTGAACAAAGAGTAAACTTTTACACCGTTATAAATGAAGTAATAGAGGCCGATCCAAACTTTTTGTCTAAAATAATGTTTTCCTATTAAGCTACTTTTCGCAGCAATGCCGCGATCATGTGAATTAACACCACTAGATTTATTTTTGTGGGGTTATGTAAAAGATCATCGTATTACACCTACAGCAAAGGTTAAGTAAGGAAAGTTTTAGAGGAAGCTGGTTTTAATAACCGGCTTCAGAATTACTATCGTTGGTTTGGGAAACATCGGCGAAAACCCGAAAATGGCGGATGTAAAGACAAGTAATATAGAGTGTATGACACGTTTCAATAGTCCTTTATTATCTCGCAACCCGCCTTAACTTTTATTTTTCTAATGGTGCACAAGTGCACAAAAAAATGTTATCACACTTATCACAAGTTAGATCTTAATTATTATTAAATGCATTGAATTTTCAATATAAGATGAATATAAAGGGCGACTTCTCAAGAAGTCAGATCTTTTGTGCAAATTACCAACTGCGTACTTTTTAAAAAGAAAAAGTCAAAAAAGGTTCGTTAATTTAATTAACACTTGAACAACTTACGAGTTATTGAAAAAGAAAATGGCGACAGAAACAATTTACAAGTAATGTATTGTTAAATCTAATTACACAAGTACACAGATATGCAAAATAACATTTTTGATAATTAGTGACTCTTAATCCTACAACTCTAGGGGGTGAATTTCCCGGTATTTCTGTTAATGTTTCTAAAAGTGTCCAAAAAAACTCTTTCTGTTTTCTATAGTCTGGGGAGAATCAAAAAATTCATAGAGCTCATTTTTTGTATGACCCCCGAGGTAGAAATCCAAGGGTGAACGCTCAGAGGATCTCGGAAGCCAAGATATTGAACCATTTAATGAAATAATAGTTCGTCAAACTGATCCCTTAAGGACTTTTCCCGACTTGAATAGTGCCAAATCTATGATTTTAAAAAGAGAAAACCTACTACTTATTGAAACACAACTTTGATACTTTCAATTGTTTAATGTCAAAGTTAGAGCCTTCTTAGATGAAAAAAAAAGATAAATAAATCATCACCTACTTATAAAATAGTTCAGTGTCAACATTACAAAGTGTGAAATCTTTTGTGTACTTGTAAGACACAATGAACTGGAAATTTTACGCTCTTTCGCAAAATCTAAAAATCCAATATGGCGGTCATAAAAAAAAAGTTAATGCGGGTTGCGATAAGACGATTGAGACACGTCTTAAAAACGCGCTGCCTACTATACTTTTTCTACGACCGTTAGTTTTTGGGTACATTTTTGCGAAAAAACACGAATACATTTATTGACATGACCGTCAGAAATAACGAACGTAAAAATTGAAGCAGGGCTGTGAAATCTCCGAAAACATCCGATTGCTGCCAAACCCGTGCGGTAAAATCCCAGAAATCTCCGAAGTGGCTCAGGTCCGTGGGAAACGAAGCTGACGTGGTAAAGTGACGCTTCCCGCGCACTAGATCGGTTTATAATTAGGTATTTTACAGAAAGGAGTAAAGAAAATTATTACATCTTTTAAAAATTTTTAATTGATCAATATATCTAAGAAACTATTGAGATTAAATATAGGGAAACTTGAAGAAAAACCATGAAATAATATACAGGATGTTCCATTTAAAATAAGGGTGCTTACTTACTTACATATGAAATCCCCTGCACTATAGCAACAATTTTCGATGCGTACACAGAATCGACTTTTGCATTTACAATTTTTGAATAAAATGTGGTGATAAGTCGAAAATAATTCTGCAGTATGTTTAAATGTAAAAGCTTATGACATATTTTGAATTTTATGCCAAACGTGGCAACAAACACTACAGAAATATCATCAAAGATCTTAAGAGTATTCAACGATTTTATAAAAAAAATTATGACAAAAATACTAACAATAAATGCAGGAAAAAATATGTAAAAATAAGTTTTTTTATGAAACGCTTCTACTAGATGTTTAATCCTTACTATCCTAAAATTTTTCTGATATTCGTTGAACACTCCTTAGGTTTTTACCCATATTTTTCAGTAAACGGTCAAATTGTTTTTGAGTAAATTTATTCGCATCATAGAAATAAAATTTTAATGTTGTTTTACTAAATAAATTAATTTTATTTAAATCCTTAGTAGGTCCCACTTCTCTAGTGCTTTTTTGTTTGTTTCGCCGTCATTTTCTTAGCCGATTATTATTCGTAAAGCATTATTATTATTATTTTATGGCTCAGATTTTGAAATCTACAATTTTTGCAAATAGACCAAGGCATCCGCCTTTTTTCAAATTCCAAATATGACGATTTTTTCATTTATATTTTCACTGCCTTGTATTTATTTATTTCTAAAATATCAACACGGACAACTAACGGAATTCAAACCCGAATATATGACAAAGCTTTCAGTCTGATATACTTAGACAGGAAAGATACGTAACACGGATATTATCGAAGAGTCTGGGGTCTACTTATAAAGCTTCGTTTTAGGATATTTTTGTGTACTTACCTGGGAAGCAATCGAACGAAGGGCAGAATCCAAGGTGCAATAATTTAAAGTGATTGGAATTCCGAGAAGAAGAAGTTTAGTCCTTAATTTTGTGACACATTCGATTTCCTTGTTTTCTGTTGGAGAAAAAAAAACATTTTTTTTACTTATATTGCCTCTTTGTTTCAGTTTATTATTTTTTTTTTAAATTCACTCAAAACACTTCGCCTTAAATTTGTCGGAGCTTGTCGGATTTCGAGGGTACAGGGGTCGAAGTTATTGTGAAAATTTCCGGCTGCAGAAATTAAAAACTGAAATGTCAAATTTTTTCAAGCCCTTGGTGTTAGTTTTGAACTAATCAAATTCGAGTTTCACGTAGTCAAAAAATATCCAAAATTAGTTCAAAAATTAGATTTAGGAAGAAGGAACCCCCTGTTTTAAAACTGTTGACGGCACAACTCCGTTATTTGATGGTGCGGAATGGAGAATTAGAATGGCCACGAAATGTAAGTACAAAAAGTGTAAAATTCAAGTTAGTCAAAAATATTAATATGAATTAACAGCCGCTTACATGGAAAAGTAATAAGAGAGCTTGGGTGACTATAATAGAAGATTTTGGTTTAAGAATGAGTAAAGAAAAGAGAAACATTTAGATATTTTTGGATAATGCGATGCGTCATCCTAAACGTAGGTATTCAATTAACGAATATTCAAATCCGGTTTCTATCACCCAATTGCACATTAGTCCTTCAACATTTACAAACTTTTTATTGAGCCGTTTTTATGAAGAATTTGTTATCCAAAAAATATTCCATTGAGAACGTTCAAGCTCTTATTCAAGCAGTTGATATTGTAGATGCTATTTATATTGTAAATGTTACCAGAACAGCATGGACAATGATGATTTTTTTGGAAGAAGATAACTTACCCTACCCTAATGATTTTGCGGAAGTCAATGTTGTCGATATATGATAATCTATGGACATTTATAACAAAATTGTTAATAAAAAAATTAAAAAAAAAAATTATAACTGATCAATCAAATATTATCACATTGGCCATTGAGTATCAGCAGTATGACATTGAGCAGTATGTGAGCCAAAAATTGCGATTATTACATTTTCAACACAAAAAGTTTGTGTTTTGTTTTTTGATTTATAATTATTAAAAAATGCGTTTTTTTTTTTAATTTTCGCCATCCCTGATAATTATTGGAAATCGACTGCAATCCACGTTGACAAAAGCACCTACCGTCCATCTTGCGTTGATAGTCCTGCTGGACTGCACGTTCCTCATCGCAGTTAGCGCCAGTAAAACCGACCGGGTTATCCAATGGAATCGTAAGGTCAGTGCTCGTTCCTTCGTTCTCGGAGGGCGCTGCAACCGGCGCCATCTTCGTGTTCACGCGTAACACATTCATTATGTAATTCGGATTATAGTATCCGTTTAAAAGGTCGCTATCACTTTGGGGTACCGTGGGCCATCCTACTATGCTCTGTTCGTTCGGCGGTATGGAAAACACATTTTCAATTTTCTGCTTAAGGAGACCTGCAATAATAATTATAACGCGTACAGCTAGGTCATGGTGGTCGATGGCGGGTTAACGTTTATGGAAAACGAGGTGGGATTGTTTTGGACATATTCGTTATTCACATATAGGCCACACTCCATCGATCCGACATATTTTCAGCGACGCGACGCTGTCGCTTCTTCAAAAAAGTAGCACCGAGCTTGATATTTTAAACTATATATTAATATGATATTGATTGATAGTTGCTTTATATATATGATTAAAACGAATTTCAACAGGTTATCACAAGTATTTCTTATGAGCTATGATGGTCTCTGATGTTCATTTTGGTTACATTACCGTGGTAATGATAATAATAACAAAAACAAAAAAAATCTAAAAGTAGCTCTATTATGTACAGTACTACCATGCCGTATTGGGAAGGTAAATGAATACAATTAGTTCTAAAAATTTTATTCGCAATATAGATAAATCATCCAGTGTTCAAAGGGTCCATATAAATGCTACGACAATCAATATAAAGTCTAGACATCTTAAAGCCTTAACAACCAATGGCACTGGTGCAAGATGTATAAACCTTTTGTAAACAAGCCGATGTCAAATTAGTTCGGTTTCAACTATAAATACTTATATAAGTAAAATGTTAGGGTTATTTATGCCTATTAATTATTAAAAGTGTATCGAGACTGAAAAATTCTAATCGGCCAGTGTCGCACGGTACATAAAAACTTACGGCACGTCGAAATATCGATATTGTAACCTATAAAGGCACCTAAAAATGTTGTAAAAAACAACGCGTCATATTAGCACGCGTTTAAGGCAAATTTTTAAGGCACGAACCGAAAACACGGTACAACAATACAACATAATAAAATATGAAATATATAAAAGTATCAAAATAAGACATAAAGCGAAGAGATGGCACCTCAAGCTAGTACGAAAAAAACCCTAACTCCTTTCGTCTCCAATTTTCGCAAACAATACACAGAAATAAAGTACAACATTAAAACGTTAAATAAATCTAAAACATACTAAAATAAATTAATAGTAATGAGAGATAACCACACATGTGGCCGTCAATGCGTCATCTCTACTGTAGTAATAAATCGTGCATTTTTTTAACATTTATTTAAAGCGAATGTTACAGTATAAAAAATAATGTCATTTTTGAATATGTCGGGTGAGTAAAATGTCAACGAAAGTAGAGTGATACGTTGCACAAAACACATAAACAGGTACAACACCCAACATTAACCCGGATTGCGGTTACATCGATAAACAATTCGAGGCGATGCGACGAGTCTTAATGCCAATTTTGTGTTATCTTAATCTTTTGCACGGCTCTTGCGACAATGTCCCCGGATAACACGACGAGATCACTCTTAACTAAAAATTCTTATGTAGTAGCAAATTGCAAATCTCACCAGCAGCATTTAGGGCGATAAATGTGCTTGAGTAATGGTATTTTAAAATGTAATTATAAATATAAAAATGCTAGTAAAAGTTCGAGACGCGTTTGCTTTGAAAATTTTGGCAATATGAAGTATGAAAATATTTAAAATGAATTGCGTTGAATTTTTTGGAACATTTTCTTTAAAAAAAAAGTCAGTTTTCCTCGTTTTAAATTTTAGAATATTTGGCGGGTGTGTCGCAAACTTCCAAGTCAAAAGTGTGGGGTCTTTATGTTTTTAATATGGATCAGCAGGTTTTCTATTGTCTCCATAGTTTTATGGAGAAATGACAGGAGTATAAAGACAAAAAGAATTTCTTGATAATACGGTATGTAAAATATGATTTCGAAAATTAACTTATTTATTAGGTATATTATGTAATACTAGAAAGAAAAGTTTGTATAATTTACGCAAAAAACAGGGTTTAGAGACTGCCTTCGTGTTATTAGGCCCCTTTTACAATATTAACCTTCTTCACGATTGGCTTAAACTTTTTTCGCGACGTTACTCGCAGTTTAAGCCATATGCGTAGCACTATTACCTGGTTAACAGTTAAACGATAAATGAAAACCAGCAATAATGTTTTATTTTTTGATTCCGCGACCACTTGAAATAACAAATTCGCGAATAAATATATGGGGAACAGGCTTTACGCATTCCTAACCTCGTTGCAGTGTTCTTGCAAAATTTCTATTATAAAATAACGGAAATTTTTACTACCCAGGGAGAAATCTATTCTATTAGTCGCGAATGATAAACATGGGGGATAATAAAGGATATCCAAATTTTTTTGATTTTCAGGAGGCTCCGGAGGAGATTAAGTTTGCAAGCGTTGCGTTTATTTCAGGCTTCTATCAAAAAGTTTATTTGGCTACTTGGACTAACCAAACTTCTTGTCCAATGTTCAACCTTTTATGGCTTTTTTATTTTATAAGAGCTTTTTGATCGCCGCTAATTTTTCTAGGTAATGCTAGGCATCTTGGAACAGGTATGATATAATGCCAACTCTCAACTAACATTTTTCGCAGCTTACAGATATTTATAAGGGGGTTTATAAAGAACAATTGTTATCGTCTTATAATAAAACTGTTGGTGTTACAAGTTTTGTAAGACATCCAATAAATACTAAAACACTGTAAGTGTAATAATATTGCATCCAAAACGATTGCATTACTCTATCTACAAATTTTTATAGCGTTTTTATTATAACACTTTTACTGTTTGGGTTTTGTAACTTACTCCATAAAACTTTTATAAATTTCTTTCATTTGCATAATTTTAAAAGGCATGCTTAGTTTAATTCTAAACTTGATCTAGATACTGATAAAAAACTAAGCACACTTTTTTCAACAATAAATTAATAAACAGCCGAATAGTCATTGCATAATTGAAATTTGATATTTGCGCACTAATTACTTTCATATGGTTATTCGATTTTTATTAGTTTTATACCGGTTACAAAGGTTTTTACAAATACCCTTTAGGTAACTTCTAAAGCGATCGACCAAAATACTGAAGTTTGAAGAAATTATTTTTATCGGAACAGTAAGCATATCTTATCTAATAACCATATCTTATTCTAATAACGAAGAAAACGTTGTTGAGATATTAAAATCTAAAGTGGGTCGAAGAAAATAATGTTCTTGTATTTCAAAGATTAAAAGATACAACTTTTATGATGAACCGGAAGTGGATCAAGCGAACAAAAATTACGAGTTATTTAACAAAATAATGTACAATTCAATGAAATGCCGTTGTGTTGAATATTTTCCATATTTGTACTACACTTTAGTTGATTTGTATTAAATGTTTTAGTACTTAATACGCAAGTTGTCTTAAAATGTAATAAGTACAATGCAGAAATATACAGGGTGTTCATTTGAGATTCCAATGTTGCCGTTGATTTGCGGTAGATCTGGCATCCATGAACTCTCAAAATATGTTTACACTTTTAGTACGCCACTCAGCGTGAGTCACTCTGCACATCGTAAACAAATAATATAGACAAAGATGAAGTTTTAGTTTTAGAAAGAAGTAGTTTTGTGTTTATAAACACTATATTCTGTTATAAAACTTATCAATGGTTTAGAAAGGTAATGACAAATAGATGAGTAAAAGTTTTATATCGGTCTAAACTTTAGTCATCGTTCCTTTTACAAGATTCTCGATTTAAGTGCAGCCGGGGTTATATAAGAGTGACGACGTTTTATAAAATAGGTACTCGAAACGTACCCAAAACAAAAAATGCTAGTTGAGCTACTTATTAGACCGCTACTCTTTATTGCAATTCTATCAAAAATGGTGTGGGGAAATATGATAACAGAAATCAGGGAAATGTTGAAGATTAGAGGTCGAAAAATCTCCCTGGGGGACTAAAATTTTTTACAATCAAGGGCAAACATTTCCGCTCGTTGACATTCACGCATTCCGACATCGTACCCCGCGCCCATGACTCCCTCAGCCTCAGAGCAGCTTCTTCTTCGCGCAATCCGGGCAAATGATGTCGCTGTCGTCGGTGATGAACCCGCGACCGACCAGACTCGTCTTGCACGCCGCGCAGTAAAAGCAGTCGTTGTGCCAGTGGCGATCTTCGAACGAGATAAACTTGGTACCGCCAGCGCCGGTGATCGGCCTGCGACAATTGGAGCACCGTTTGGCGAACAGTTCGCCGAAACAGTCGGCGCAGTACGGCCTGTCGTCGCGACTCGTGAACCTCTCCCCCGCCAAACTCTTCTCGCAGTGCGTGCAGGTGAAACAGTCGTGGTGCCACGGTTCGTTCTTGTACGTCACGCCGCCGCTCAGGATCACCTTTTTGCAGCGCACGCATTTGGTTGCGAACTTATCCTCGAAACACGTCGCGCAGTAGATCTTCTGGTCGCGGGGCACGAAGCTGCGCGTGCCGATCGGCGTGTTGCACGCGCAGCAACAGAAACACTGCTCGTGCCATTGCCGGTTCTTGTATTCCATTTTTTTCGTGCCGGTGACGAACGCCTCGTGACAACCGTCGCAGCGTGAGGCGAACTGCGCGTCGTAACACGCGCCGCAGTAGATGTCGTCGTTTTTCGAGCCGAACTGTTTGTCGACGAGCGATTGGTCGCACGTCGTGCATTTGAAACACGCTTCGTGCCAGTGCCTGTCCTTGTACGACAGGTCTTTCGAGTCGATGCCGATCAGTTTGTGGCACTTGTCGCACGCGTTCGCGAACGATTTCTCGTAGCACGCGACGCAGTACGGTCGGTCCTCGTGCGGTACGTACTTTTTGCCGGTGAGTGGGTCGCGACACTCGTCGCAGCAAAAGTGCTGCGTGTGCCAGTCGCGGTCCATCGCTTTCGTGTACTCGCCCGTGATTATCGATTCGTTGCAACCGGCGCACTTCGGGCCCATTTTGCTTTGTCTTTTTTTTTTAGGGTTACGTAAGCGAGTTAGTTCCCTCGCGTGAGACCTGCAAACAAAAATTACAGATAAGAGCGTTTGGTTAGCGTACGATAATTTTCTAGCTTTGCCGAGCCAATCAGAAGGCACGGTATCATCAATCTGAATCGGATATATGTATAAAAATGTTTCTCTTGGCACTAGTATCGACATCGACAGAAACCAATGTATTTTGTATACTTGTTATAAATTTTTAATTATTATTCGAAATCGAGTTTCAGCAGCAGCTTGTCTATGTTTTTTGTTATTTATTTCACGCGCTTAATCCTTTAATATGTAATTGGAATTGAATTGAATTTTTAGGTTATAGTTCGCAAGTTGTACTTTATTTTATTTCTTAGGAATAACTCATTACAAACAAGCGTGGTTTTAATTTCATACGAACTGAATTAAACATTTATAACTTAACTATATTTTTTTTTAACAGTTTTCAGTTGTGGAAGTAAACTATGCTGGAGTTACAGGAAGAAATAGAAACAAATAGTATATGGGTGTAACAGAAGTGATTACACAGGTTGCATGTGTAGCGATATGCAAGTAACAATACTATACTTTATTACATTTTATTATTATTTTTCAAAAATTTGCCAGCTCAACTTAAAAAACAGTGTAAAAACTGAAGGTAGGGTTGAACGTTTCAGGAATATGGATTTTAATAAACTAATCAGAATATAGTTTGGATCTAATGTAATGATTTTTGATTATCTGATTAAGTGAAAGAAATTAAGACAATTATATTAGAACAAAAATGTTCAGATTTTCACAGTTATTTAATGATTTGTGACCGCTGTTCCGTCAAAAACACGACTCTATGACATGAAAATATGACAACATTCCAATATAAATATATACAAACAGCATTAATAGATTTTTAATTACACATGTAAGGTTATAAATTTAAATTTAACGGAGACCCATTTAGATCCAATTGGTCAAGTAATAGAGTCCAATATTTCGTTTTGTTAATCTCCATAGCTTCCAACAAATTTAGTTTTTTGCTATTTGATTGATTATGTAAAATATCAAAATTAACGAAATGGCGTAGTTACAATCCGAACTGTCATTTTTGTAGCCCTTTTTGAATCATATGCACTCCATACATAACCGTATAAAATTTACCATAGAGACGGAACTAGATAACTCTTTAAACTTTCTGCACTTAACTATAGCTAAACTACAGAACAAATTAGAATTTTCCATTTACCATAAATAGAATAATAGCTCAAATCACCCTTAGACAAACAAAATGTTGCCTTTTATTCTTTGATCCACAGACTACTTAAAACCACTTTCCACAGAAAATTTTGAAAAAGAATTGAATATTATAAAGCAAATAGCTTTTAACCATAGTTACGACCCCTCTTTGGTAGATAAGATTATAACTAAAAAGTAGTTTCCAATAACTCTGAACTCTATTTATTCCATATTAAACACCGAATCAAAAAACATCTATCTAAATTTGGTCTTAAGATTGAATTCAAAACTGAAAACACCATAGGACCTTTTTTAAAAAGCAATAAAACCAAATTACGAAAAACTCAAAAATCCGGAGTCTCTAAGTTGAAATGTGGATCATGTCCCAAAATTTGTATCGGACAAACAGGTAGAAGATTTAAGAAACGCATAAATGAACATAAAATGGCGTATAAAAATAGAAATTCGGATTCTAAGTCTGCCATTCATTTAAATTTAGAAATTCACAGGTTTTTACATAAATTTATTGTAAGCTAGGGAGATTAACAAAACAAAATATTCGAATATATTACCTAATGACCAATTCAATTTAAATGCGTCTCGGTTGTTAAATTTAGAACCCTACACCGGAAATTAAAAATCTATAAATGTCATATTTTGTATTTGATAAAGGCACGGTGGTGCCGAAACAGCTGTAATAAATCATTGAATAACTATGAAAATCCGAATATTTTTTGTTCTAATTTAATTGTATTAAATGGATTTTAATCAATTAGCATTTCATTTATCTGCGTTCACGTTTTGGAATATTATATTTGGGAGGTTTAGATCTTTTTATAAAATTTGGCGGCTTCAAATCGAATTTCATTAATTATTTGTTTAGGAGGAGATTCGTTAGCTGGAGATAGTATTCATATTCATGGGGCCATATCCTTCGAGAATTATAACTTCACACTTCAGCCGAATTATTACAGAATTCATTATTTTATCATCAATTATTGTAAAGTTTGTGAAACTTATGTATGGCACACTGATGAACTAAGGACCAAGAGATTACCGAATGCCGAACAAGAGACAATTGATTAAAAATTAACTACAGGAATTTCGAGCCAAAAGATGATTGAAGATTCACGAACAATATGTCACCAGACCAGATCTAATGTATCTGATGAACGATGATTGCATTATATTGGAGGAAAAGCAAGAGGTCGTGATGCCGCTATGTTACAATTAGCGTTTCATTTTGGATTTCTCACAGATTATTTTCCAAGAAATGAAAGGATGAAGGATTTTGTAACAAATATGCAGACCTTTTTAGGAAATTTAAAACGAAACAACAACAACGAAACACTGGAGAAAAATAAGAAGTAGAACAAAGAATTATCATTTTCAAGTATATAGTATACAGTCCTGATTGATATTTAATTTACTAATTTTTATTATGTATTGGGCACAATAGCCATAAAACATAAATTATAAAACACAAAACGCATAAAAGAACTATAACTACACCGTCACATTTATTTTGAATCCTATAAATACAACTTATAATAAATTCATGTTAATTCATAAAAAAATAAACTAAAGAAACCATATTAAGTTTTCCGATAATATATATCAACGGCGCTGTCGCGATATGTAGATTGACCGATTCAGTTTAAATTTGGCGCCTTGATCGGCATTAGATGCCGCGTTCTGATTGGTCGGTTAGAAAATTAACATATACTAGTTTGGCTAGCCACAGTTTGTTCCAAATTATACCGTTCGCATTTCGTCTGCCGCGAAATACTAAATTAAAAAGGGGGCACCAGATTGACCAGGTTTACGAAATAGGTTAGACATTCGACTTGCCGCACAGTGGTCGGATTCATATGTTTACGAGCTCATTTGGGTGCAAACCTAACTTCTCGGATTATCTATATAAAGGCCTTGTTTATGCTGATATTATAGGAACATATGAAGCAACAGTCGACAACCGACAAGGCTGCTGAGAGATCGTCAAGTAGTTTGGATACGGCATTTTTATGGCAGTACTTTCTCAAAATATGCCTGTGTTCTGCGAAAACGAGTTAAATCGTTGATTAGAAAGACAATGGTACGAAGAGCAGGTTACTGGGTGAAATGTGCGCATGCGCGGCAAATCATTCCCATCTCTAAATGATATATTATCTAACAGCTATATGCAAGCATTAATATAAACATTTTCTAACTTTCTAAAGCAAAATACGAGCTTTACAAGATCACTAGGGTACGTTATAGTTTTACCTCCGTGTCTTTTTGAAATTTAATTCTATAGCGGATTTCCTTAATATTGAATTAACCTTAAAAAACACTAGAATATTTTCTCTTCTACTATTCAACTCTCAACTATTTCAACTCACAATCAATAAAAATATGAAAACATTTTTTTATTAGAGCAAATATAAAACTTTTAATAAAATCCTAGTTTGTTGAGGACCCTATACTTATAATTTTTATCACGTATAAACCACAAAATACGCTCTATATTTATATAAAATAACACCTGAATATCATTTAATTTTCCATTTTCCATAAATGTCCATCAGATTATAAAATCTACCTTGATTTGTAAAATTTATTAAATTAAATTGTTAGCAGCGATATTTTCATAAGAAAAATTCTATTGAGCTTGTAATATAATATTAGAACCAAAATATCGGCGCAAATCTAAATTATTTCACTAAAAAATAAGTAGAATATTATTAATATAACACCAACTTTTTCCATGCTACTTTAACTGTCCATAAAAAAATCTTCATTGAGTATAATAATTATATTATACATCTCTAGGCAGCGCTTAACACTGGTTAAAAATGAGTTTTCAACGACACAGTGTGGACACTCATACAAACTATGAGATTTTTTTTGGTTCACTAAAATACGACAATTGTCGAAGTTGGTGACAACCGTTGTAGGTGCACATAGAATGGTTTCAAGTCAAACAATATACAGCGTAGGTGATTATATATAAAAATTATCCTTATTTTTTTAAAATCACCTAAGTACTATTAGCAAAAGTTATTAAAATTATTAATATTCCCAAACACCAAAGCAGAGTCCTCCTAAGTAAATTTCATTATTATTTTTAAAAAGTTAATAATTTAATTTTTTTTTTGCTACAAGCTTGTTGCTGCGGTAATAATACTCTTATGCAAAGTGCTCTAATTACTTATTTAATTTTTAGTAGGTATAAATGCAATTATAACAGTTATAATTGAAGACAAATATCCGCTGAATAATGTTGCTTGAACGTAGCTTGGTATTTTAGTGTCATTAACATGTAGACGTATTGAGTTTGAAGATGTTGTGACCTACAAAATGAGTTTTAAAGAGGTAGCCGATTTTTGTTGTAGATATTAACGGTCTTATTTGGACCAAACTACAAGCCGCCATTTCCTCTTCGCTTTTTAAGGGATATAAGTGTGTCTTTTATATTATCAAACATCATATTTTTCCTGCCCAATGAGATGATTTTATCACAAGGTTAATTTTAGTATGTGGAAAAATAAATAATATGATTCAAAAACTCAAATAAATATTTAAACAACTTGTCAAAAATAATTTGCTATATGTTAAACCGAAAAGCAGCTTACCAAAACTAACCGCAGTGCGAAAGACAACTCACCGTATTAACGTTTTAGGATGCATTACAGCGATAAATGGCACAACAGCAAAAACGGAATAAAAAATCTAAAAAGGAAAAGTTTAAAGATGCATGAAACATTGACGGGTTATATCTCGATATAACAAATCCTTTTAGCAGTCCTTTCCTAGCGCGTATTGACAACTGGGAAATCCTGTAAATGTTAATTTGTTATAACTCTATCGCGTACTCTATCAACTACAATGGTCGCATGCTACGTTTATAGTGGGTCATTAATATGAGCATAATTAAGTTTTTTTATAACGTTGAACAGTTTTTTGCCATAGAAATATTAACGTAACCTCCATATCAAATAAAATTGCTCTTAGAGTTCGCCGAACGATATACCGTTTTTACACCCTTTTATGGTTTTGACTTTGGAATGCGTTTAAGACTCGTCTGTTGTAAAGCGGAATGGACCATCCTGGGAAATTTTCTTTGATTATACTGTTTAATTCATATTAGTGTGCTTTTTATAAATCTTCCTAAAACAGTTCCTACTTGAGGTAGCTCGATTTCAAGCTGAATTTTCCCATTAGATAGGTTGATCTACTATATTAAAAACATATTAGAAAGCAAAACTGATTTCCAATTTAAGGGTTTAAGGGTAACAATGACTCTAAAATATTTTCCCCAAAGAGCAATACAAAACCTTTTGTAGATGATTTTTAATGTTTTATGAAACAGTATTTTCTTAGCGGTGGAAGCTTTGGAGATATTTCTATTCCGTCATGCTTGTAAGTAGTAATAAAAAAACTTACTGTTATTCAATTGTTTTTCAAGACTTAGTGTGATATTGTTATTGAGGTACCATATAGATTTTATTGCAATCTATTTCTTAGCAAATACCAACATTATTTAACTTTGTCAGTCGCTTGCGATGTCCAGCGACGAAAAAGTTGAGATTGTGGTCGATGACGTAATAATCGTTGATGATGAGCATCCATCAAATGGATCAAAGTCTCGGACACATTTGCAGGTTGCTGCCAAATTTATAATTTTAAATGTGTTTCTGTTTCTGAAATCGACATCTGGGGAATGTCGAGGCATAAAATTAACGTCCGAAATGTCTAAAACACCGTAAGCCAGAGTACGTGATATAGTTGTGAATGGCGTCCAAGAAAGAAAAACGCTGAAAGATCGTGGGGTCACAAAAAGTCTACTTGACATGCACGATGCTTGAATAGTGAGAGGTTGACATATGAAGTGTATCAAAAGAAAATTGTTTTAACAATTAAAACTTTACTTGAAGAGTTGCGTACTGTTTTGAACATAGCGTGCGTTCGTATGAAGAATTGGATTTTATTACAAAATCATCAATACGAGACAAGTTTTGATGGAATCAAGAAGAATTTCGGAATGGAGGACAAGATATTTGAGAAAAATCTAAGAAATTCGTGCTAAAAACGACATATGTTTAGGTGAGACCTGGTTTGATAGCCACGATACCGGCAAGAAAGGATGGACTGATGGTAACAACAGGATGGATGTTGTATGTACCAATTTCGCGGGGCAAACGACTTATCATACTACATGCGGGCTCTGAAGTTGGTTGGGTATGTAACGCTTTGTTGCTTTTTGCGAGATATCAAAGAAGAAGAAGAAATATGGTTTTCTGAAAAATTGCTTCCAATATTCTACCAAACTGCGTTCTCGCTACTACCATTCTCCGCAGGCGGAAAAAATACTAAATTCATCATCGACTAAAAGTCATTCAAATTTTTTTGCTTGAAAATTATATGTATTTTGAACATTCCTACACAAAGAAGCGGTTATTGGAAGCTCCTAAGACGGAAACGTTTGATAAGAAGTATAATGTGGACAAGTTGGCCATGGAGCGGAGAGTCACAGTTGTCCGTCTTCCACTTTATCACTACAATTTTAATCTGATAGAACTGATGTGCTAAAATTTAGTTCTGGGGCAATAGAATAAATTAGAAGTGAAGTAGAAAAAATATCTGCTTCTAATTGGAAAAATGTGTAGAACATGTCATAGAAGAAGAAAATGTTTACAGAAGTCGTTATGTCGTTAATGTGGATGACGAGTCCAGTGACGATAGTAGATAGTAGATTATTTTGCTGTAGAATAACTTTTTTTTGAATAAATATTCTAACATTGATTTATATCTAAATTTAGTCCTTCATTTATTTTTATAATAAACATTTTAAAGTAAAAATGGATGGTTCAGCGAACTCTACTAATTAAACCACCATAAGCTGTATTTTTGCGACCTTTTAACGACATTTCTGGTAACGACGTCGTTAATTCTAATTTTGTGGTCTATCCTGAAAATACTAAGTAGGATTCTGGCATTTATAAAATCTAAAACAGTTATCAATAAACTTTACGTATAACTACGTATACGTACCTGCGAAAACTATGCATACGCCACCATTTTTCACGATTCAATTTTGCGAATCTATAATTTCGAGCACAGGAAATATTTTCCAGTCTCTCATAAGTACAAAATAAAATATTTTTTTTCTTCAATTGCAGGCCTCAACATTTCGCAAATGCTGCCGCAAACAATTATTATTAAAATCTCAAATTTTCGAAAATGTCAAAATGCGTGAATGTCAAAAAATGCGCATGTGTCACGTGAAAATTCCAAACACCGCATAAAGACAAACCCACAAAAATTTTAAAGGCATTAAATGTCTGACGGTAATCCAATCTTGCAAGCTCTATTTACTCTATTTTCCAGCAAGTATTTGGTTAGTTTCCGTTATTCGGTTGTTAAGACGAGAGAAATTAACCAAATACTGGACGGAAAAGAAAGTCGGCCACACATTTAACGCCTGCTAAAAATTGAAGTTGTATAGGTTAGTATTGGCATGCTGCAAAATGCAAATGTAAATGTGAGATAACGTAAGCACCTTCAAGTTTCCAGCGATTTATCATCTCCCCCAAGCCAAAAAAATAATATAGGGCGGGAAAAAATTGACTAAAAATTAATATCGAAATGAAATTTTGTGCGTATCGAAATATATATGCAATTATTTTAAGCTCCTAAATGATGCAAATGATCTTACCAGTTAACAATAATCCAATAATCTAACCAGCAGACTTGGGCCACATGCGTTCGCAAAAATAGATGTTTTCGCGAAATAGAAAAGTCCAAATCAACTCGCGCTAGTTACAACGTGAAAATACAGATTCCGTTTTTAAATCGTTGCATCATTTGGGCAATTAAAGCTGCACTGAAATCCAGATGCTCCAAATATTGCGTGTTTTGAAACCTGTCGGTAATCGCCGACATTCGGGTTGAGCCTAATGTTTCAACTTTTAACCGATCACAAAAAATGAAATACTGTGGGTGTGGATTTTTGACTTGATCTTTTCGGGAAACATGTTATAGTGGGGTTAAAAAAAGCATTATGTATACAGGAAACATAAAATATGCGAATAATGCCTAATATCGACAAACATGCCTTCTGAGTTTAACCAACACTGCGATAATAAAGAGCCTATATATAAGGCAAGTCTGCACTTCTGACTTTACACGTGCAACGAATTAAAGCATTGCTACCCACCCAAGTATGCTATTACAAAACATTAACATTGGCATTTTATTTCGGCTATTTAAGAATCGCCTACATACAAACAGGCTGATGACTCAGATTGTTGATCCGCAAAATAATGTAAAACCAGTCCTTATTTGGAAAGCGATCGGTCACCCATAAAAATAAACCGAAGGCCATTAATCAATAATCAGAACCATCTGGGTTCACCGCCATCGAAGATTATTATGAAAATAAAAACGTTTGTGTAAAAAGTTTGTCAAAGGGCCACGCATCGTTAGTAAATAATATTTCAATGGAGGACTCACCCACGGTAGCCGATTCAGAGAACGACATAGCCCTATCCTCAGTTCCGCATATTAATAAAAAGTTAAGCGTTTGTTCCATAGGTAGTTCTTTTAATGCACAAGAATATCCAGTTAAGCCACGGCACCACGAATATGGAATTTACAAAAATAAACTGGGAGGGACGAACAGATTACGGTAAATCACCGTAACCGATAACTAGTTGTCAAAAAATAAAAATATAAAACGAGTCGGATAAGGTCACAGACAAAAAAAAAAGAAAATCCTTGATGATAGAAATGAGAATTTTCAAGACAGTGTCGCCACGTTGAACGTCAACCATAGACTACCCAGTAAGCACGGAATCACCAATTAGTGACTATTTACAGGTTGCGTTTAATTTGGAATAATTTTCAATATTTAATGACTTCAAGCAAATAATTCAGGCTTGCGTATGAATTAAATTTTCACCAATACAAAATTTGGCGAAGATTCGAAAGAACAAAAAAGTCGGTGTAGTTGACTGACGTACTAAGTTTATCGTTACAAAACAAAGGATAAATATAGGGGGGGTTTTCTTGACCCCATTATAGGGCATGTTGCAAGTGAGATTTGTCAGTATGACACGAAACAGCGTAGTAATCGATCAAGATGGTTTCAACAACAACTCGTCACATGCTGTGTTAGGTGGTTTATGGTATGTTGTGCCTAGACCGTGTGCCCAGGAATACAAAAAAGAAGAGCACGACTATGTGAAAGACGCATGTCACAGCAAGGTCGCCCACTTCTATTCATTTTGAGTTTATGAATAAAGCATATAAATAACTCACTTTATTCCATTAAATAATTAAACAAGCAATACCCCGGTCGAGATATCGCCCCCTGTATAAAAAACGCGACAATACATTTGTTACGTTAGCCCTACTACGTATTAGGTATTGACGCAACAAAAGAAGCCTACTAAAGTATTAACTACTGCGATAAGTAGAGTTTCGTGGGGTGCAGACCCGCAAATCTTAAGATAGAGATATATTCAATCACATTGTCTAGTTTTTACCATGGCTCTAAACAGGGTGAGAGGGTTGTATTTGGTGTATATATACCAAAGCTTAATCACAAATTTTCTGCAAAACTCCACAAAGAAATGTGTATTGCCACAGGAGAGATGATAGCAATAAAAGAGGGACTAAGAGTTGCTCTACAAAGAGAATTTACAAAAATTATTATTTTCTTAGATTCTCTAAGCGGGATTTCTAAAATTTCAAATGGAAACACCATCACTAAAATGGACTACATAACTTTACAGGTTCGAGAGATGATGATAAGGGCTAAAAGTATGGGAGCAGATGTTATGATGGCCTGGATACTGGGGCACTCAGGTATTAAAGGTAATGAAAAAGTAAATACTCTGGCTAAAATAGGAAAAGACCTAAACATCCCCTTTAATATTAAATTGGACATACAAGACGTGAATAATAAAATTCTGATATATTACTAATATATTTTGAGAACCGTGGAAAAACTCAATACAAGAAAAAGAAAAAAGATATGGAAAGTTAATACAACTTTATTTTCCAAATAGAAGATGGTTTTCTGAACTTGCCTACATAGACAGATGCCATATAAATACTATAATTAAAATGAGAACTGGACACTGCTCTGTAGGGGAGCACCTGGCCCGGATAGGGGTTCAGGACTCTCCTTTCTCGGAGTGCGGCGGGGTTGAGAACCTTAATCATATATTTTTTGAATGCCCTATAACAAAGTCTTATATAGGTCTTAATTTACCACTTTGTATTGAAATTTTAAGCACCCCGAGTGTGGAGATCATACATATGCTTTCTAGATTATAAGATAAAACTTTAAGTTAGGAATCGATGTTTGACATTCTTTCCCTAGTAACAATACTAGGGAATTTTAAATTATATGCATTTGAATTTGTTATTTTTTCTCAGATCTGATGAGCCTGGTCCCAAGTTCCATTGTGCTGGAGATTTTTTTGTCCTTTTCTGCTTGTAGATGTGACCTCTTGACTGTTTGTCTTTAGTTTTTGTGTGCTCTGAGCCTGCCCACTAACGGATCCTATCTCCAAGCAGTTTTTGATGCCTCTTATTTAAAAACAGAAGTCTGAAAAGTAAACTTCCCCACGAGAACAGTCTCTATTATTTGGTGCAGTTATAAATAGTGCTGGCAAATTGCCTAGCAGCTCTCGATACGTAGCGGTAGCGACTGGCAATGTGTATGTAGAGGTTATGGTGTCTTATTTTTGTTTGGGTGTTAGACTTTTTCGAAGGTATATCTTATTCAGTGTTTGTGTGTAGTGCCGCTTTTGTACGCTAGTACCTACTACATTAGAAATTAGTAGAAACGGACGTTATGGACATTTTAATTGAAAACGAAATGAGGGAGGTATAATTTGGTCCAATGGCTTTGGAATTAGCAGAACCAATTTGAATATTTGAGGATAATGAAGGTGATAGGTGTCCAATACCAAAAAATCAGAAGTATTATGAAGACTGTAAGGAGTTAAAAAAGGGAACTTAGAATATTTTCGAAGCCACATTCGTAAATTTATTATAAGAGGTCTATTTTAGAATTTACCACATCTAGTACATTTCGGAGCAGCGAAACATTTGATCTGTTTAGAAGAGGAGCTACCACAAATAGCAAATATGCTTCTATAACAAATATTGCTCTTTTTTTGTCATTCACATTATAAGTGCAAAATTTTATTTCTTTCCTCCTGGATTTTGTTGCTTCTTTCAATGGCGTTTGGTAAGAGGTTAATTTCTTGTACTCAAGCTTCCTCGATATTTGTTAGCCTTCTTCGTAGATAAAACATCCTACTCAGACTACCTAGTCTTGGTACTTATAAAAATAAAACATGTTATAAGCTTTTAATTTTTTTAATTATACCAATAAAAAAAAATTGTTGAAATCTAACCTAAGGGAGGATACAGGTGTTGCTCTGATTGGAGTGGTTTCAATCTGCGAAGTCACTGGGATAGCGGTGGTCGGTTCTTATTTTCGGCAAGGTCCTTTTTTCCTTATAACGGGAACTGCTGTCGAGGTTAACCTGGTGATAATATTCCTAGTAAATTCTACCCCATCCAGTTGTCCCTATATTGTCTTTGATGGCTGTGTAGGTTTTTTTTAGGTTTCTCCATTTCCTATCCAATATTACTTTGGTTTAGTGAAAATACGTTCTGCAAATAATTTAAATTTGCATCTCTACTGCATGTGAGTGTAATTTGCATTTAAAAAAGATTACCGTTTGTTTGAAAAAAGACGTACCTTGATAAGATCTTCGAAAACTCGAGGATTGTTGGAGAAACTTTCCCGTTGGGATCCTGATTTTTTTTTTTGTAAATACTAATAGTAATATAACTGATTATGATGGAATTTCCTACTCCCACCCTAGCCAAATTCCTCTTTCAAGACCAAATTCTTCAAACACCGATCGCTTCGCTACCGCTACCTAGCACAAAATAAACTCGCTACTGAAAATGGCGTGCACCCCACATGTTGGATTTGAAGCGTATGTGCCACCGGACATTTCCGCTACGGCTTTGTAAATTCAAATGTCCAACACGCTCCCAAACGTAAATGTATCGAAAGCGCTTTGGTACGTCCACTGAATGCGACCATTTGGTTCACCTATGCGTATCACGTTTGAAATATACAGATTGTTTTTTTTGAAATGAAGAGATGTCATCAATTCACTAACAAATTACATATATATTAATTTATTGTTATGTAAATTCATCTGTTCTTTGTAATTTGCATGAAGTTGGAATGTTAATTTATCTGAAAGGAGCTAAATAAATTTCCATAAGCAATTTTTAAACTTTTAATTTCACATCTATGAATGTCCAAAATTGGACTTTACAATTCAAGGTAACCCAAGCAGACAATAAATAGATGAGGAGGGAGGGGGCAGTATCCAATTTATTTATTACATCCACTGGTAGCAGCCTTAAACTTCATAAAAAATGGGTAAACATCACGAACAGTATTATTTAAAAACTGATTGCATTTTACATCATCAAAACTTTACAAAAAACTGATATATCATATTTTCCAAGGATTACAGTTTAATTATGTGTATGGCTTGTATTTTCAGCTTATTTTAGGAATAAAATTCAGGCGTAGTATTAATTTCTGTTAAACCAAGTAAGAGAATGTCCTTTATCTATGATATATTTATTGTAAATTCTAAAATAAGTTGAAAAATCACATTTCCATTGTTTATGTTCAACTTAATTACACTCAGAATAAATAGCATTGCTTCAGAATGACAAGACCGAAAGTGTGCAACATCAACTGCAGTATTAGAGTCATAAGCGCAGAATTCATGAAATAATGGTCGTTTGGTAAGAATTAGGAGTTACCAAATGTTTCCCGACAAAAAAGCTCCTGAGAGGGAGCAGCGAAAAAATTGTCAGCTTTCCCGATCCATACCCATCAATAAATTATGTCACGGATTTGTAAAATCTCTGCACAAACTGTGACAGATTTAGAACTTGCCCTGGGCCTTTGCCAATGTCCATTTGAATATATTCTTCCAAGTTGTGGGTGTTGCCTTAAAAAAAAGATACTAAGTATTGCGAAAGTATCCGAATTTGAGAACACTAACTGGAGGATGTTATTGCTGGGTAATTTGGTGGAGGTTTTATCCAAGAACCGTCAGGTCGTTTCATATGTCTCCTGTCAGATGCAAACTCCTTTATAAATTCTACCGCCGGAATAACTCGAAAGTATCTATACAATTACTCATTAATATGCGATATTGACATTGTATTGCATACCTAAAATAATCCGGTTTTAAAATATGGTCCGTCCGAAATGTCTCAGTAACATATTTGTGAACATAGGTCGGAAACGGTAATTCTGAGTCGAGGTCGTACACCAAACACTTTTCCGGTTCTGGATGGTAAAGAAAAATTACGTGGTAGTCCTAGAACAGGTATTAAGAATATTTTTCTAAAAAAATATCCTTGCCAACCCAAATAACCAAACGGTCCTCGTCTTTGCCAGCTCGCTGTCGCCACAATGGCACGGTTCTGCTTGGGTTTGATATGAAAACAACGAAACACTTATTTATTTCATTGCAGTAGATTTTGTTGACTACTTCTGCCAATTTATAAATATTTTCCTCACTAAAACAGCATTTTCTGTTTTTATTTAATTGAGTCACTTAATAATGTGCATCAAAAACGTACCAGTAACATGAAACATAGGAACAGTCGCTTTGTTTGGGAAACAAATTCAGTATGGTTTTTTTCGAGTTGTCTGAACCATCTTGCATTACACGGGTCTGGGGCTCGTTGGCCATTTTACTGCGAATTTATTACTATAACTACTTTCCTTCTTCACGCAACTACTCCATTTTCAAAACGTAAACACAAATTTTTTGACATTCGTCATTTTATCTTCTTCTTTAATTGTATATGAACATATTTATTTTGCTGTTATAAAATAGCCCAACCAATGGATTGAGAATTTTAACTATGTATGCATAGAAAGATCCAAAGTTTCCAATGGATTTGTTGTGGCGATTATTTTAATTACAAAAAAGTTGTGAATTTCAATTTTATTGGTCGACTTATCCTTGTGCCCCGGTCAGCAGAAGTAAGAAGAATAATAATTATCAAAGAATGAGGAAGTTCATTGTCGGATAGAACTCTGTGGTGGAGCATTGCACGCGGCGGTTTAACCTCCGTTCGCTCCCGACAGAATCCCTTGTATTTGTCCCAAAAAGTTTGATATCGGTTTACACGATGTGGATTTAGTGTTTTGAGTGTTCAGTGTACGTTTTAAAGTGATAATCGTCGTCGGCCCCGTCGTTTTTCCCTGTTCACGCCGGTATGGGGGCCGAATGGGCCCGGATGGTCCGTGGTGGAAGCCGATTTTTTTGGTATTGGTCAGAATCGTTTTTTGCTAGCTGAGCAAATTATTGGTTATTTTTCTTCTTTGTACAAGGCGGTCATTGACCAGAAGCGAAAATCCTCGACAGAATGATCCTAGCGAACGAGCCCAACATTTTTTATGAAACGCATAATTGAATTGAATTGAATTGTCGGATAGGAGCAGTTTTATGCTATGGATTTGTTTATTCTAACCTTAGCAATACGGAAACTGTGCTTGGCACAAATGAAAATGGCAAATATGTTGAATATTGGAAACGAGGAATCGCCAAAAGAAGAAGTAATAAAAAAACTACTCCCCTTGAAACCAGCCAGAGAAAACGGGTAAGTTTCACGGAGTAGGAACGAAGCAAACCATATAAAGAAATTTTCATTAGATTGCTGTTGAACATTCAGCATAACAGCTCCAAGAAACACGTACGCATAGTTATTTGCGATTTCCATTGCTCGGGGAACGTTATAGCTTTGGCGACGAACGAAGGGCAAATACACATCATCAACTTTTTATTGACGAAATTTTGGGCGTTACCACAAATCGAACGATGCACTTGTTTAAAGTTTTCAAAGCGCGCTGAACTTGAATTACTAATTAGTAAAAATGATGGGTCAATAAAAGTAGTAAATGCTAACTCTGGCAACGAAGTAGTTAATCTCATCTATCATAAATACCCAGTTGCAACAATTTCAATTGCTGATTCCAATATCTGCGTTTCTGCATCAAAACATGAGGCTGTTATCTGGGATTTGAAAAACTATGTTAAGTTACAAGTCCTCGCGTTGGCAGACAACTGCGTATTAAAATTTGTAAGATATAATTATATTTTGCAGGCAAAATGATTTTAAAATACTATTTAGGTACATTTTATACCTGTAAGTAATCATATCCTTGCTTGCTTTCAAGATGATGTTATACAAATTTGGCGGAGTGACACTTTCAGCAGTCTTAAACAATTTTCGCCTTCAAACTGGCATAATTACTCAGTGAAATCTGTCTCGCTTTCAAGGTAAGGCTTGCACTTTAGAAAGTTAAAAATTTTTACACTTAAGTTTTCAGAAATGGTCGAATCATGGTGGTTGGCGGATATTTGCCAATAATAGCAATCTTCCTCTTGGACGTTTGGAAGTTGCTCAAGGTGGTCCACCTGCCTGATTATATCAAAACAGTAAAGGAAGTTCATTTGATTCCTAGAGATTTCGATGGTGGTTCCAACAAATTGTTGATAATATTGTCTGGCAAGGGAGTGATATACTTCTATGACATGCAAAAGAACCTTATAGCCTCTGAACTGAGATCAAAGTGTGAAATTGTGGGTGTTAAAATTTGCGAGAACAAAGCGCATTATTTGGCTTGCCTATTGAGTTCGGGAGAAGTTGAAATTTATGACATCACTCAATATGTAACCGAGAGTGAAGGCACGGTGATTGAGAGAGTCCACCAAAGTAGTTCAAAAATTAAGCTGAGGACGTTATCGAAAAGTAGTATTAGAGAAGTCAAATACCAGGTCAGTTATTTATAAGATATTGATTTTTATGGACGTCAGCTGTTTTAGATCAATGAAGTTCTTCAAGTCGACAAAATTAAGTCGGTAATCCGCGAATATCAACAGATTCCTGATGTTTACCGGACTGTGTTGTGGGAAAAGATTCTGGAGCTCCCGAATAACAGAAAACTATATAGCACTATTGCTAACAATGTTAGCATAGTGGCGTTCAAAGATTTATATTCTAAATTTCCTTTGGAAGATGCCGCGCTAGTTAAATGTCTCAAGAATTTGTTGAATAATATAGTAACATGGTGCCCATTCTTCGCAACCGTAAATTATCTGCCCGTGCTTTTATTCCCTTTTGTTAAGGTGTTTCATAAAAGCCCCGTAATCTGCTTCGAGCTGTGTTGTACGATAATAAGTAAGTAGAGATAGTCCACTGATGGTTAGCTGCATTTCGCTCAATAGAGGGTGTCAAATTTCAGTTAAATTAAACTTAAGTTTAACGGAGTATATCCTCAATTTTTTTAGTAAACTGGTGCCAACACTGGTTTGAGTACCATCCGCTCCTGCCCATGAACGTTCTGGCAATGATAGACAACTTATTCATTGAGTATGATCCAGACTTGTTGAAGCATTTTCGTGAAATTACTTTACCTTCGAGCGTTTATAGTTGGTCACTATTGGAAACGGCATTTTCAGAGGCTTTAACAGCATCCGAATGGGTCAGATTTTGGGATCAGGTGTTAATAAACGAGCCTGCTTTCTTAATATGCGCGGTGGTAGCCTACAACGTGCTTCAGAGAAAGGCACTGATGAGATTGAACTTGCACGATCTCGTTAATTTTTATCACACTTTGAAACCTGTAGATGTTAGGAAACTGATCTCAAAAACTTACCATATTTTGAATAATACCAGTGAACGAATGCATCCTAGACAGTACCTGAAGCCGTTTAGACGTTTAAGCCGAGACACTTATCCCGATTTTCAAGAGTACCCGCGAACTACCGCAGATTTGCAAATGGGACATTTGAACTACTTGAATAGGGAATACGAAAAGTTACATAAGGAACGCGATTTACTTATGGGACAAGCGCGGATGGCAAATTCGGAGGGGTCTTCCCATGTGGAGGTACAAGAGGAACAGAAAAAAAGACTTAGAGGCAAGTAAAATCTGTGCCTTGAGGGGAACTAAAGCAATAATATAATTCAAACTTAAAATTTTGTAGAGGTGGAAAAAGCATGCTTGGAAAATATTAAGTCATACCAAGAAAATTTAAAAAAACAACAAGAAAATTTGTTAGAGATGAGGCAGGAATTGTTGCATCAAGAAAAGGAAATGATAGATGATACTAGTCAGAGGGGGCAACAATTCATGTTACAACGTCAAATGGATGAAGCCAGATTATTATTGGACAAATTGCAAATAAATGATAACTTAAACCAAATTGAATTTATGAAAGTTAAGGATAGGTTTCTTCAGAAGAATTTAGATATGCTGAGACAGAAGCAAGATCTCCTTGATTTACCAGCTGGTGATAAAGCCAATGCGAACATTGCCAGCCATGTTGCTCTGTTCCAAAACGAAGCCATGAAAATGAGAAACGAATTAGAAAAGGTTGAGAATAAGTCAATACTTGATCCCTTCCTAGAATTAAATTATCATTTTACATTGTAGGCTAAAGTTCAGTTAAACAAATCACCAACAAACTTTAATGTTCTTTCAGGAATATCTGCCATAGATAAAATAATAGACAAAATTAAAAATGAACTTGCAACAGACGATCTCAGAATGGAAAAGCGGAATGAGTGTGTATCGAAAGTATAATAAAAAGTTTTGTTATATTTTTATATTTTACATTTTGGTTTTTTGAGGTAAAAGGTTTAGAAATTGAGACCCGAGCTTTGCAAAGAGATGTTTCCAGATTGCTGAAAGTTTTAGCTGACAATCACAAGAAGAACACTTTCAATAATGGATAATTTATTTCCTTTTAAAAACTTTGTCTATATTATGGGTTATTTAAATATACTTTTATTTATTTTGCCTTAATTTTTTTTTATATCAAATTATAGGTCGGTGATTCGTTTCAACAAGTAGCGCTTCTAACTTAAAAGTTATATCGTCGTTAATATTTACTTGATGTGTCCAACAAGCAGCTAAAAACATTGCATTATCTTTGTTCTTTTCATGGGCGATATTTTCCAGAATGAATTCTTTCATCTAAAATATCATGATTAGTGAGGGTATTCCCCTCAACATTAAAGAAGCTTTACTGTAAATTCTTTTTTATAAGCAGTGGATATGTCCGATATGAGATTGGCAATGGAGGCAGCACTTAATGACAAAAACACGGGTTTGTCATTACCATGAAGTTGGTACAACGCCTTTGTCTGATTTACCAATAGTTCCAAATTCTCCCAGTGCACCCTAATATTCTGAACAATGGAATACAACTCGTTCACAGCCTCTTCGAGATGGGAACTGTAGGTCGCGCCAGAATTAGCTTTTATTGACGCGATTTGTTTGACGATCCTGCATCCTTTGATATGCCACGCGTTCCATTTTTGAATATTGTTATATAGATCGGCTGCGATATCGCGAGTCACTCTAGGGGTACCCGTCAAATTTCTGGAAGGAGAATTGTTTGGGCAATCCGGCACTAAAATAATTTATTTAAATTCTTCACATTTTTGTGAACAGCTCGATTTACATTTAACTGGTGAAAATCCTAAAGCCTCATTCAAACTTCGCCTCGCTTTCATATTAAGAATATAAGGACATTCATTTTTAGCCAAAAAAATATAGGTTAGTCACAAAAATTCACAGAACACGAAACGACTATTTTCCTACCGGTTCCGGAGATATGACGTAATCGGTTGTGGCATCCATTTTTATTTCTTTCAAAATTTTGACGTTGCGCTATATTCGAAAATAACATGGCGGACTTTTTGCGGTCGTTTTTATTCGACCATCAGACATTAAAAACACGAAGGAAGACGACAACGCACCAAGCGGCAAACGAACGGCGAGCGATGGGCGATTACGACGCTGCGAATGCCTATGACGAAACGACCGAGAAGCAACTCCACAGACAGCAGAATAACACAAAGACCCTAGTGATAACGATCGACAACGAGATAGCTGAATCGAAAGAAGATCTGCATAGCCTCGGCGAGCAGATTAATAGCGCGGAAGAGATTTTTCCGAAGCGATGGCAATTATACCAGGGTTTGAAAAAGACGTGCCAAGATCAATGCAACGAAATGCAAAAAGAAATCGCCAGGTATGCGAAGAATGACCAGAAGTATGCATGTCAACTTCACAGTGTGGAAGAGAGACTCGAATCGTTGCAGTACGTCATCGACGAAATGAAGAGGGTGCAAGAAGAATTGCAGTAGTTGCGAATAATTCTGTGGTTTAAATTTATTCTTGAAAAATTAGTCTTTTGTCCCAACATTGCTTTAGTAAAATGGCTGACTCCAACGACAAGGTTGTATTCGAAGACTTAATCCAAGTCGTAGTTATAATAAATGTCGAACATAACAATGGTATGAGTTTCGTTTCTTAACTTAAATTTTGTGTATAATAAATTGAAAAACTGCCTTATTGAAAAACAATTGGTTAATCTGCAATTTTACACTCGTCTGCGTTGTAGGTTAAGGATATGTGTTTCCATTTCTCTAGGAGGTGCGTTTCGTCGATCTCTGACAATTCCTTAACCATTTCCCACCCCCTCGTCGCAGTAGTCAACACGTATGTGTTGTTCGGATCTTGGAGATTCGCGTAAGCTCCCATTACGATTGACTGAACCAATCGCGCTGAAATGCATATCTAGAAACGAAACCTTGGAATAAATACCGCGCACAAGCTACATAAAAGAAATGCTTATTACATTTTTTGGAGAACTAAATTATAAGTTAAATCGTCCCTATATTTTGTGAAGCAAAATTTTATTTATTTAGAGGGCGGCGACTACCCGTTACTACCAATGACAATCTTATGTATGTAGAATACCTAGTAAAGCTGATGGGGCTAATAACTTTTTTTTCTACTCCCGTCTGTAAAACATCTAATTACGCACCGATCTAGCGTGCGGGAAGCGTCGCTTTACCACGTCAGTTTCGTTTCCCACGAATCCGAGCCACTTTGGACATTTTCGAGATTTTACCGCACGGGTTTGGGGAGCAATCGGATGTTTTCGGAGATATTTCCCACGCTTTGAATTTTGACGTTTGTCAATTCTGACAGTGAATGTATTCGTGTTGTTTTGGGAAAATGTACCCAAAAAGCAACAATTGTAGAAAAAGTATAGTATGCAACACGTTCGGTAAACTTCTTAACTCACTCATTTATTAAACACTCTTCCGCGCGTGTGAAATAAACTCGTGAGTCAAATGCCGTTTACCGCACTTGTTGCATAATATACTATGGTTGTATATGGTTGCAGTATCGTTATAGTGCGAATGTGAGCCACTTGCGACATTTTCGTCATTTTAGTCACTGGTTTGGAAGCCATTGCGTGTTTTCGGAGATTTTCGCTGCGGTTTATACTTTGAAAAGCGTCTGGAATGTCTGGGCTTTCGTGTTTCTTCGTAGACATGTAAATGGATTTAAAATTTATATTTTTTGGTTACTTTGGTTTTGATGTGCATGCTAAAGATGATGAATGATTTTACTTCAGGAGTCAACATCACGGGTTAATTAGGAGTGTTGTACTTTCGTTTTTGTCAATTCGGTCATACGTCTTAAAGTTAGAAACGAATAGTCGTAGCAAAAGTATGCAACACGCTGATAAACTTACTCGGTATATTGAGCCAAAACAAATTCGCGGCTGAAATGGCGTTTAATAAATATGAACATGTAAATAAAATTTATTCATGTAATAACGAAAATTCTAAAGTAATTTGAATCATTCATTAGTTGCCACAAAATTTGGAAAATTTTCCTTTTTTTAAATGTACTTAATCTGTGTTTTAAGTCTACTTTGAAATAACAAGTAATATGAATGAATGAATTATGATACTATTTTTTTAGGAGCATTTTTTTTAATCGTTAGACGAGACTTAAATATTTTGAATTTGGAATATAAATTTTGTTTAAAGAAAATATTGTTTAACCATGAAATAATTAGAAGAACTATATGGTTCAATAAAGTAATTAAATTTGAATATCCCATATTTTTCCTGTTATATCAATGAGCTAAAAAAAGACAAGAATCCTCATTAAACTTTGTTTTTCTCCTGTACAATTTGCCTGGCTTATCTATCACGCCGTTGCTTGTCTCTAAAAATGTTTATACTGATAATACAGGAACTTATACAGCAACTGCGAAATTTTCTTGAGGAGGTCAGGTCGACATGCGCACGCATTGCACTGTAGGCTATGGAATTGACTGTCAGAAACATATAGATAGATAGAAACAGAGAGACCCTCTTTATGCGGATAATAAGAGAACTTATTCAATATTCAACAACCAACATGGCCTACAGTTCGTCAATAAAATTGGATGCGCCATTTTTATGGCAGTATTTTCTCAAAATATTTCCATGTCTCATTAAATCATTCAAGAAAAAAGGAGTTAAGTGTGTGGATATAGTTTAGAAATAACATGGCGCAAAGTGCAGGTTAGTGGGTAAGATGTAGAAGCATGAGCGGAAGATCATTCCCATCCCTACGAAAATATCATAGTCACCTAAGGGGCATCAATTTTTACCGTAGTAGGACCACTATATTATCTAATAGCTATTTGATCGGCACCAATCCTTTGGGGACGCATCTGTATAGTGTTTATACTCACTGGGCATTGTAATAAGTATTGGTAAACTATAAAATGATAGACGGAAAACACAAATCACAAGCTACTTGACCAACAGCGACTCCATACAGTTCGTGATTTGTATGGTAACGGCCAAGTAGCTATTAGATAATATAGTGGGTGTACCATGGTAAAAATTGACACACCACAGGCTGCATTGCCTAACCTGCACGTTGGGCCATTGATGAAAAATGGAAATTCGATCGCTTTACCTTCAACAAATTAAATTCCTGATCGGGCACGTCCCTAACCGATTTATATCCTGCCAGTACGTAGGCGCCGTTATCGATTTTGCCCGATTGGAAGATCATGTATGACATTGCGATAGCGAGTTCGAACAAATAACATGCGTGGTGCGTGTCGCCGTAGTCGATCAGAGCCGTGACGGTCCATCGCCCGCCGTTTTTATCGACGAGGAGGTTTTGTTCATTAACGTCGCCGTGAATCAAGCCTTTCTGCAGGGTGTGTGATTTCGCGGCCACCCTTCTCGTGAATTCAGAGATAATTTCCTCGAACAGAATCCTCTTATTTTTGTCCCTGACAGCGTGCAGGTAATTTGTGAGGTTAGGTACTTCTCCCAGTGTCCACGGTGTTTTATAGTCGTCGTAGGCTGGATGACGAAAACTCTACGGATAGTAGGACATAAATAGTTAGATACAATAATAGTTTAGAACCAAGGATGCTAAATTGTTGAGGATCAGAAATAGTGTTGTTGATTCCGTTTCTTGACAGCATTGTCTGTATCTGTTTGCAGTCTAGAAAACAATTTCGTTTAAGTTAAAATCTTATTGCAACGCAACAGACGATGACATTGCAATTAACCAAACAGTCAACTACAGCAGGTTTCTTTTTTTTTAAGTAAACATTAACTAAAGTATATCTTTTTGAAGTGGAAATAAGCACGGTTCTTATCTATCATAACCGCAAAAAGAACTTTATGATTTCAAATTTGAAAAATTGCCACTTATTTAACAAAAGAGTAGGCACTTAGTAATATAAAAACCTTAAGAAAAGCCTAAAAAAGAAGTAACACCTTTATAAACCTACGTCAGTTTTATTTACTTCCACTATAATTTATGCTATACACTCGTGGTCGTTCTTACTTGCAAAACTGAATCGATCCGAGCCGTCAGCTGACCTATCTGGAAAAGTATTTTGGAATCCGACTCTATTTCGTACAATATTGTACCCTCGATGTATTCCAATAATCGCGCTATATGGCCCCCACTGCGCAGATCAATTTTCATGTGTCCTTTCCCGTCGACCGTCAACACAGGCAGGGGGCATTTTACGTGGTTATTGTCTACATAGGAGAAAGAGGGCTTTAGCTCTATTAGTATATACTTGCCTAGTTAGCAGATAGTCATTAGCGAGTGTTAGTGTTAGTAAAAGAACACCCAAAATTGACGTCAAAAAGGCTTTTTGTCGACGCTACAAAAATAAGGTCTTTTAAAAAGTATATTGTAACAGAACTTTTAGCAGAATCTGTGGTTTAGGATGCTAAAATTACTCGCACCTATAAGTTAAAAGGTCCATTCAATTTGATAATATGACAATTTAAATGGAGTTATCAACCGACAAGAGAATTCCGTAAGTCGCATTGTTGAAAAACGACAGAAACCTGATTTGCAATTGACTGCTCTAACGTAAAAAGAAGCGACTTAGATTTAGTTAATACATATTTTTCAAATTTCTTAAACTTATTATGCTATCATTAATCACAAGGCGAGCAGTTAATGACGTCCCGTTGAAGACCTTCTGCTAACAGCTTGCCTTTAAAGACACCTCAATTCAACTAGAAATAGCATAACCATTGTCAAACATTGATGTGTTTTTAGGATTACTTTCCTAATCCATTGAGTCATTGAGAGACTTCTTTTTTTATTGCCAAGTTGGAACCACAGTTTTCACACACTTAACAAAAAGTCATGATTGTGAAAATATTGGTATAACACAGTTATTATTAATTGAGGCCATTGTATGTATTGTATGACAACACTTTTGAACAGCATCAAGCATTCCGACGCGTTGAAACAATCAATATCGATATAGCTAAAAAATCGCGTTGTTTTATGAAATGGCAACGCCGATATCGGGAAAATACGGAAAGAGCGGCAACGTCGCCGAATGATGATCGGTTCTAGCGTCGTAATACGCTCCGAATGATTTTTTCGCAATAATTTCAAAAACAAATCTACTTAGGTGACGAAGGAGCTCCGTTTGAGCCTCAAACAGCAGTTCTTTTTCCGAATCCAAAGAGTTGACGATCTTCAACACATAACCGCACTTCACCACTTTGCCGATACGTTTGTTATTGTTTATGTTGACGTCGACGATGACGTGGAAATTTCGATCGTCATAACCGTTCAATTCTCTGGCGCTGATAACTTGTAGCCCGTAGAAATTGAATAGGAGTTTCGCGATTTCATCAATTGAGATCTGAGGCCGGCTCATGGCCGCCGCTGATAATCCCGTCACTGACAGCTAGCCTATTGCGACGTCAAACTACTAAAGTCGGGTCAAATGATTAGGTCTTAGTTTTATTGAATACCTAAACGAAGCGAAACAATTGACTAATTGCTGGCGTATATGGCTTGAACTGTCGGAGAGGGTTCACCAATCGATAATACGAAAACAAATATGTATTTAGGGATACGCAGTGGCGGAACGAAAAAGAAAAGCGATAACATTTCTTTATCTTTCATCTTCATATTTTAGAATACGATATATATTGTAAGAGAAAAACACTAAATATAACCATATATGTCTCATGACTCATAGTAATAAAGCCAACTAGATCATCTCTATTAGTTGTTCACTACCGGATCTACCGTTTGAAGAATTTTTATTTTTCTCACAACATTTTTGTCGTCATTTTTTATTCTTGTAGCAGATTCCATTGTGTAAAAGGAATATTACAAACTCCGCTGATTTGCATTGTGGGTAGAAGTACCGACGGCTATGAAATTGAATGTTAGAAACATATAGACAGATAGAAACAGAGATATATAAGCAATGTTTATGCTGATAATACCGAGACTTATGAAGCAACTATGAAAAAATTGAGCATTTACATTCAATATGCGCTCGTTTTAAATGAATGACCTTGCGGCATGCGACAAGCAATACCATTTCCGCTAACACATCGTTAATAAGTTTGGATGCCGCATTTTTATGACAGTATTTCTCAAAAAGAAGCTGGGGTATGGAGAACATTGTTCAAGAAAATTACTGTAGTTTTGTGAAAAAATAATTTATTGAATATAGAAAATTTGTGAGTGGGATTCCTGTAAAAACCATCTTTACATATTTTAAATTAACCTGTACAGAAATCAATAATCACTCGTGTATAGGGCCATTTTTTCACAGTTTTGATGGCAAGACAAGCTTCACCGGACCTAATTTCATTTTACTTATTTTAAAGTAACTCACCGCGCGCGAGATGAGAGTTTTTATCTTCTGTTTTCCTTGGTAACGCTCTAGTCGCGAAAACTATTGTTTTAGTAGAGTAACCGCGAGTAACAGTAGAGTTTTTCTTTGTGATAACTTTTGCTGATCAAAACCGGCCGGCCGTATCCATACAACCCAGCACGCAAGCAGAAGTGAGCCCTTTGGAGAAGATATTTTTTCTTTAAATTTCTTCTTTGTTTCTGCTTCGCATTTTTCCTTAGTTAATGTTATTGATATGCATATTTCCAATATTCCAATATGTAACTTCGGAATTTAGCAAATCAATTAGTTTTTTTTGTTATCGCACTAATTTTCATCGATCGACTTTACGCCAGTTTATCGATGATGTTTTAGATAGTTCTACGGATAGACGCACCGCGTTGACAGATTTTCATTTCGCGTCGTTATAAACATTGAAGTGGATATCTTTTTTTTCTTGCATCATCATTTATTTAGTCTCGCTGACTTCCTACCCGTTGTTACTTCAGATTTACGGTAATTGTATTATGCACATATACATCTAATTTCTGTCGCTTTAATTATTTTGAATTTATAAATGGCAACTAAATACGAACAATATCAGACTTTGCGCCAAACTGCAGTCAGCCGCATAAAAGAATTCTGCACTACTGCAAAAAAGCCGACGCAGATGAGACTCAATAATAAGATAAGAACAATAATTTTATGTCATGTAAGCAACGATTTTTGCAAACAGCATAATCTTATCGTTGGTTTATTGCCAACGGGAGCTGGAACCGACTTTGAAGCCGAAGACAGGGTGCGGTCTGAATTTGAAAGTTATCTTTACGCCACCAAAGCGATTTATTTTAAAATTTTTGATAAATCTGTTACCACACCCGAAACTTGAAGTCATATTAACATGTTATCTTGACAAAAATTGAACTGTTAACATTTAGTGGCGATATTACTATCTTTCTTTCTTACATTGACATGGTTGTTCATTCTTTGACTTTTTCTTCTTTGACACTTTTAAAAATCGGTATCAAAATGGAAGATTAATTGGTTCTTCTCATTGGTTATCTATAGATAATACCCCAAAAATAAATTCAGTCAGTCCTCAAAAACTAAAGAGTTTATTGGACACCTTTTCAGATAATTCGGGAGCATTCAAGAATTTGCAATTGGCTGTTGGCCTGTGGAATTTTATTTGGGTTGAATTGGTTCTAGGACGTCCGGACATTTCATTAGCTGCCAAGTTTGAAATGCATCATCATTCAATATATATATATATATATATATATATATATATATATATATATATATATATATATATATATATATATATATATATATATATATAGCTACTGGCATCGGACTAACCGACTTGTATTGCAAAACTAAGCCTGAAAAAAAATTCGATTTTCTCAATCCGCAACTTAATTTCAGTAGGCTGTGGAATTTTCTACACAAACCTTGCCTGTCCAGGTTTGCTACCGGGTTCCGCTACCATTTTATTGGTTACAGCAATTGCTTAAATGCAAGCTGTTTATTTAAAAAAAATCGTTTTTTGTGCCACTCTGGATTACAGACCAGTTTCTTTTCTCAAAACTGTGTCAACCGTTTATGTATAACTTGTCACAAATCTTCATTTTCTGTCCCAGGCAGTCCTCTTTCAGTATTGCCACTGGAGCATCTGAACCCCTCATGTGTGTCCCGTTCGATTTTTGGACTCATCTTAGCAACATTCATCTAACTGATCCAACTTTCGGTAAGGTTAAAGAAGTTTGACAAGTCAAGAGGTTTTCTCTCGATGATGAGCTGTATTAAAACATTTTTGCAAAAACATATGCCCGTCTTCCTTCGGGCATAACCTTTTCGTGATACGGAATCTTCTTTTTGGAGTTCTAAGGCTCTAGCCGAAAGGCATTTTTTATCCTTGGAACGTCACCTTAAAAAAAACGACCCTTGAGGGATGAGTATTTTAAGTTTATGCAAGAACATCTCGATCTCTATCAGTGGAAGTTATTTCTTCGTCTGAACGTCTGAAACGACAAACACTTTATATTCCGGATTACCCTGTTTTTAAATCTGCCGGTACAAATTTGAAGTTAAGAGTGGATTCTAACACTTCGCAAATTCTTCCTAGTTCACCGTCTCTTAATGAAGCGTTGTTGCCTGGTCCAAAACTTCAACGCGATATTCTTAATATTTTACTTCAGTTTAGGCTTTATTCTGTAGTTTTTTGCGTTGATGTCTGTCATATGTTCAGACAAATTCTTGTCCATCGGTGCCAAACTGAATATGAACGAATTTTATGGCGTTTTAATTCAGATGGACCCATTTCCGAATATTAATACTAACAGTTAAAATCTGTTCATAGATATAAGAAAGTGACTAACTGATACGAATTAGGGAAAGACCCGAGCAAGCTGTAAGAATGAAATATGACCCAACAGGTCCGTACTTTGCTTAGAATTTAATTATTTGGGGTTTTGTTAGGAAAGATACTAAACAATATTTATTTATTTATGTATTTATGTTTAAATCTAAAATAACATTACAGATTATTTTTATTACCTACATAATATATCAGTATCACTATCGCTATCATCGCCTGTTCTAATTCTTATTTATTCTATATTATTTGCAATATATATATACGATTGTTCTGCTTTTTCTATATGTTTAACAGAATTTTCCCAACTTTGTGGAGAGATGTTAAAAACTTCGGTTTCTATAAGTTTGAGGACATTGGAGTTAATACGGAAAAACATTGTTATGACGAATGGCAGATTTCAGTTGGTGCCAAACATATTCAATGGGATTAAATATACAGTGGTAAGGTGGAAGCCTTAAAACTGGATGCCCTAGACGTATTCCTTTTGTAGGTTCAAGCTTTGTAGCACTTCAATTAATTGCTTTTTGGTATAATCTTCGTGAAAATAAATGTCGTTATTATACTTGAAATTTTGAATTGTTGCTTTTGTGTCACATGAGGAAGGGGTTTTAGTCAACTGTCTACTGTGATAACTTGCATTGTCCATTACAATGACACTATTAGAAGGAATGTTTGGAACTACTTTGTTATTAAACCAACTTTCAAATAAATCAACGTTGGTGTCTTCATGGTAATCCAGAGAAGAATCTTTAATATTTTTCGCAGACAGAGAAGGTCCATTAGGAATCCAACCATCTTAAGAGCCAGCATGCAAAATAGTTATTCTTTTACCCCTTTTGGTGGCGCGTTTGTTTTATACTTATCAGTTGAGTCAACCCAACCCTTTTCCGGGGTATCGTAAGTGTCGAACCAGGTTTCATCCAAGTAAATAATTGGCCTTTGTTGTTCTCTGTAAATCCTAATTTTTTCTAGGTATTCCAGTCGCTATTTCCGAATTCTAAAAGATTCCATTAAAACTTTTGTCAATGTTTTTAAATCTAAAACCCATGTGTTGAATACAATTCCATACGGTAGTTCTGCCACATTTAACACCGGTTTCATCTTTTTCAAGCCTCCTAATTAAGATATTTAATGTAGACACGCTTTGTTCCTCGTATAACTGGTAAATTTTACGCCGTATTATATCTTGATCACTTTCATCTACACTCGAGAAAATGTCAGCATCGCTTCTTTTTTTCCTCGCTGAAATGGGATTATTCACAATTTTCCATACAGTTGATGTTGAAATTTTCGTCAATGTGGCCGTTCCTTCTAAAGATGCTTGCTTGCTGGCACCACGCGAGTCAAATAAACATTGTTCTTCCTTAGTCTCAATAGAATACATCACATCAGACAGATACATCAGACTCGCACATATTTTGCATAATTCGCACACGATTCAACACGTGCTGTATTACACACGAAATAAGAATGATTACTAATAAACTTAAACTAAGTACTATACCAAACTAAAGAATATTAAACACAGGTAGATATAAAATTATTTTCTATTACGGACCACAATTTTACCTGAATTTAAATTCCGAAACTTTAGGTAATAATCTTGTTGCATTGTATGTTAATGACCACTCTTGGATAATCCCATTCAAAAGCAATTGGTCACTTCGTTATATCTATGAACAATCATACCTACGGGTTGACTTGTACCCCATACTTGGCTAATAAAACTTTTTTGAAATTGGCTGAATTAGAAAGGTCAAATTTTCCTGATACTTTCAGAATACTATTTTGCGACACTTACATTGAGTACCGACAAGATTTTTATTTTGATAAGGAATCAGAAAATTCTTTTAAGTGTCAGGATTACACTCTAAGCGACGTGTTTTCATTTTTTATTCAGCCAGTCGACAAAATTTGCACAAAATGCAATCTTCTGTCAAACTTTGCCAAGATCTACGGTCCTCTGTTTATAGTTGTACTGGTTTCGTTTTTATGAAATATTTGGAACAGATTGGGATGAAATACTCTTAAGTCTTCAAGGTAGCATTGACATTACTTTTTCATCATCCTGTTGGCTTCTTCAGAGCTTGACTGAAACTGGCTCGTATTTTACTCTGTACCTGCTTATATATTGTTTGCTGGGGCAGAGCTAAATGAGGGGCAGAAACGCCGTCTCCGATGACTGATTCGCAAATTGATGACAGGTAGAGACCTGAGTCGCGGTTAAGATTTTTAGGTTAGGTTGTTACCAA